GAATGTATGCGAGTAGGTGCTTTTATATAATAAGCTTGCACGCGCGCGCGAAAAAGAGGCGAGAGGATTCTCTCGAGTTTCTGTTATAAAAGCTTTCGGAAATAGAAAGTCGACTAACAGCTCTCGAGTATACACACACACACACATACACACATGCGCGAGAGGTTATTTCGAGTGAGGTCAGAGGCTGTGTAGCTGCAGAAAGAGAGAGAGAGATGGTCAAGCTGAGCTTTAAACTCCTACGACTATAAGACGACTAAGACGGTGTTCTCGTGTTATTCGTCGTCTTAGTCGGCACATAAGAATCTGGATTACAGCCAAGCGACACGGCTGCGAGGCAAGAATGACTGCAGTGTGTGTGTGTACGTGCATTTAATGTTGTAGTATATATGGCACCCACGCGAAACCGCCAAGTATATCCACGATGCATGGCATTTGGGTCTCTCTCTCTCTTACTATACTTCTTCTTTTATTTTATTCCGTTGATGCAGCACTGCGATTCAAGCCGCACACGCGTCACGGGGTCTCGGGGGCGAAATTATTTCATATGCATTATATACATTTACTTGCGCACCCGCGCGTGCTGCACACGAGCGAGGCACGATCGCATGTGCGTGTGTGCCGGGCGTATACCTATCGAAAATGCACATCAATGAGCACGCGGCTGGAGTGCGCCTCGTGAAAAATTGACTCTCGCGCCTCCTCGCGCTTCGATCGGTATAATTTTTTACCCACAACCCCCGTTTCGTATAGATATGATACAATAAATAATTGAAAGTAATAATAATAACGACGACGACGACGACGACGATGTGGCATGCACGAAAAATCCGAAGCTCGAGTGTGCTGCGCTTAATGCATTTAACGGTCGCTCGGCAAATTTTACAGACTAGATACAGCGCGACGTCATATTATAAAAGATAGGTGCCTACTACTTGCTTGCTTATACTAGCAGCAACAGCTCAACGTAACAAAACCAACAACGACCCGTTATAAATGCCCGCTCGAGCTCGCATACGTATATAGACACGCCATTGGGACATTGAGAAGTCCGAAAAAGAAAAAGAGGTGAAAAAAAATCTCTCGCAAGTATACATATATATATATACACGTACACACGAAAACAAAAAGGCATTATTCTCCTTAAATAGGCCATATACAAGTGCAGCGAGCGCACGTAGCGTAGCGATTTTGCGCTAGAGAGCTGCGAGTGGCCACCAGCTACTATATGGTGTGTGCACCAGTATAATGTAATATGCCTAGGCGTGTGCATACACACACACAGGTACACAGGTGCCTACACGCGAGCTTCTGAAAGCAAACACATGTATAAATTCACGACTGTGCGTGTGTATGTGTGTGTATGTGGATGGTTGCAGGCGCGACCTTGTGTGTCGGACACTGCTACATATATATAATAGGTAAAAGGAGTTCTACTGCTGCTGCTGCAACTCTAGGCATGCCTCGTGCCTCTCTCTCTCTCCTTCTTTCTCCGAGCTCTATGATAACTTCCCTCAACAATGCAACCTCGTTCTTTTCACCTCTCGTGCTCTCTCTCTCTCTCTCTCTCTCTCTCTCACTATCTCTCGGTACTTCTCTACCTATATATATTGTATTCTTTTTGTTTTCATCAATCTCTTTTGCTGTGCTCGCGCGCGCGCGCGCCGTATATCCTTTTATCTTGCCTTTCAATCCGCTGCCGTTGGCCGCTGCTGCTGCTGCTGCTTCTACAGGTGCACGGATGCAGCCAGTATCTTTTTTTTCTTCTTTTGCTTCAACTTTGCCACGCTCTTTCTTGTATGTATATGCTGCTATACATTTATATACACGCGTGCAAAGTTCTTGGGGCAGGGGCCTATCCTTATATTATTCTCTCTCCTTTTTTCGTCGTATATACATATATTACTCTCGTTCTCTGGTTTATAAGACTGATCAATGATGATGATGATGATGATGATGATGGTGATGATGACGACGCTGATGCTGGGGTACAACACGAGTTTCTTTCTTGCATAAATATATCCTTTCTGCCTCTGTGCTCTCGTGCTCTTTCGCGTGACGTCCAGTCGACTTATTTTTCGGTCCAATATACGTGTGCAGTGCGCACACACGATCGCACATACACATTCACGCGGTAGTAAACGCGAAGCTGAAGAAATGGAAGACAGAAAAATTATCGTTATCGACCGGAAAATATTCTACGATTCGAATATCAAAAGGACATTGTCGAGTCAAAAAAATTTGAGCTCCAAAATTTAAATCGATATATTATTCCACTCGAGGCGATCGGACGCAAAACGAAACTCGAAAAACCATTATACGTTACTTATAATAACAAAAAAAACAAAAAAAAAAAAAAGAAGAAGAAGACGAAAAATAAGAGGCGCACTTCCTTCGTGGCTCGCGGTGGCATATATAAGATACACCACGTCGTGATCTGCACGCAATTTCAGCCTGTATTATATACGCTTGTGTGCCAGCAGCAGCAGCAGCAGTCGATCCTCGCGCAGGATACAAACGACCATCATCATCGATCTCAAAACGACCGGTCAAAGGTATATATAATATACCGATCTTCTCTTTGCTCAAGGTGTACGATGCGATGATGCGGCGGCATGAGCGCAGTGCACGTGCCCCCTCGCGCGCACTTTTTCATATAATACTGCTCCGTGTGGCTGAGATATTATACCGTTGCACAAAACGAAGAAACCTGGAGAGACGCGGGGCTACATACATACACACAACGCAAGAAGCAGCAGCAAAGGTAAGAAGCTGCAACAGAGAGAGAGCAAGACTGTACAAAGTTGGAGAGGGGAAGTGCAGCAGGTTGGGGTGAACGCCCAACACGCGCTTGTGTTCGGAAAGAGGAGAAGCTTTTTTCGTCGTCGTCGTTGTTGTTACAATCAAACGGAATAATATTAATGAAAAAAATTAAATACCTTAACAAATTATTAAATTTTAATCATCGTCGATGCGAGATTCAATGTTTTGGTTTAGACGCACGAAATATTTATGCAACGGCCCCGCTAGCTCATACGTACGTGCACGTGTGTACACGCGTACATGTAATACAACGACGGCCCATAAGTATCATAGGTGATTGTTTGCGGTTATGGATTTTTTTTCTTCGATCTTCTGCCCATACAAGCGTGTACTACACAACGATACATAAAGTGCATTGGCTAAGCTCTCTCTCGCTCTGGTCGGTGCATTATACCGTATATACCGATGCGCGCGTTAACTTTATATGCGCGCGCGCGATAGATGCCGATACACGATAATTGCGCACGCCGCGGCACACGTATACAGTGTGTGTGTGTGTGCATATGTACAATCACAAATATATACTATAATAATAAACGTTCGCCGCTGCCGCTGCAGCTGGCCCGAGATATCTCCTTACGCGTATTATCCATTATATCCTTGCCCAGCCGCGCATTATAATGAACACATTGAAGAGAGAGAGAGAGAAAGAAGAAGAAACGAATGAGTGAATGAAAACGATCGTGTTCCCGAGATTACGCGTATAAGACGAATAAAAAAGCTCGTTACGATATAACGAACGCACAAAAATATCACCGGCTCTACTACTACTACCGGCCTTTATAGACGAGCGGAGCAGAGCAGCATTTGGCCCGAGGCCAATTATTTTCGGGTAATCGCGCGCGCGCATTATTTACATGCGGTTATACACACGCATGCTAACTCGGCAGAAAGGAAAAGCGAAGAAAAATCTATAATAAATACATTAGCTTTATTATCTACTTCTGCTTGCGTTATTATATGCTCGGCACACACGTATATATGCGTGCAAGGTGTAAAATTCTCGAGAGGTATGAAAAAAAAAGAACAGGTTTCCGCTGCTGGTACAGAGGTCACGGAGAATAAGCTCGTGCGCTTTATTACAGATAAGAGTCGAAGATAAAAGTTCGCGCGCCGAGTATAACGCAACGGGTGCGAGGTAGGCACGCACGTATATAAATGCACGCGCACAGGTGCACCCACCGATAACGAGCTCCGATATATACATTCGCGCAGCGCAAGAAAAGCACGACGTTTGCGCGCTATGATGTATCTTATCTCGGAAAGAAACGCTTGAAAAATAACGTAATGGGTTATACTGCCGTATTATTATATTATAAATATAATATCGCGGCAGCCCAGAAAAGTTGAAAACGAGAGGAGAGAGAGAGAAAGAGACGAAACAATTACGGTCGAGGGTATAGATCGAATACGAGGTGCGAGCTGTGCGCGCGCTCCAGGAGAGAGATTCGCTGCTTTGATCGATTGGCGATTTTTCAACTATATATATAGAGAGAAAAGAGCTTCAATTTTAGACCGCGATTAAAGTCCGATACATTACACGCATCGCGCCCAAGTGTTGACGAGGAAAATTGCTTATTTATTATCAGGTCGTAGTCGGTGCTATCGCTGAATTCATCGAGCGAGAAAATCGATTATGTACACACATGAGCTGGCTAGCTATCTTTATCGACCGATGCACTTAGACCTAAATTACGGCGCGAAGCCTCGCCACGAGTTATTATTATTTATCATTTTTCCCTCTCAAGAGAGAGAGAGAGAGATCCAGAATAGTGGAAAATTTTGCGCTTATTATACGCAAGAGAGAGAAAACTTCTTTTTTTGGCAACGCCTATGCAAAATTTGGGCTCGTGTGCGTGTGTTATTATACAACGCGATGGGTGTGTATTTATAAACAACAATGAACATCGCTGTTCCTCGGTGAAATTGGCCAAACAGTCCAGAGAGAGAGAGAGAGAGAGAGAGAGAGAGAGAGAGAGAGAGAGACCTACAAATCGTTGGAGCTGCTGCGTGTGTATAATCAATTAACTCATTCAAACGTAAATAAATACCTGATGCAACGCTTTGAAATAGCCAATAACAGTCTTTATTGTGTGAATGAGGTTTAATTTTTTACATATTTTTCAATTTCTTACAATAACATCGATAAATAAACTATAGCTTTTCTTTAAAAAACTTCAAGATTTGGAAAGCTACTCGCACGGTTATTGTACTTGGCAATAATCAATTTTTATAGCTAATAAATGCAGTAAAGACATTAAAAAGCTTCGATTATGTACAGTTCACGCCTGGCATATGCCAGGTACGCTTGCAAAGTGCACTCTTGGACAAAATTATTCGTGCACGCCTACGTGGAATGGCGATTATTTTTTAAAAATATATGCACTGATATGTATTTTCCTACCGTTTCAGTTGGTTCTCTAATTGTCAGCCAGAAAAACGCACGCGTGCGCAGCCGTAGCACATGCACCAAAAAAAAAAAATTAACTATAATAAATTACTCGGAGATCGCGACAACGATGCACTTGGTGGTGGTCACTATACTCTTCGTATTCTCTCTCATAAATTTGTGCTTAATTCGATCGAGAGAGATTCCGCGTGATCGTGAGATCGTGTATCGCGTTAAAGTGTATAATAGTTTCTCGCGTATATAATTCCCCTTTTCGCTAAAGGTGGGAGTAAAAGACTGACCGACGACAAGGACGGACTTGGCACGACGCACGACTCTATGCACACACGCACAGTGCCGGTGCGCGGCGCGTTACGTCGACGTCGGCGACGACGGCTGCGAAAAGTGCGCCGCCGACGACTGCCGTTGGGTACTATTATACTCTACGCGCGGCGAATCAACTTGTTGCGCGCGCCTAGCGCCAATTTTAGATGTCATTTACCCCGGCGTGGCCGAGCGCGTTGGTGGTACCGTCTTCGTGATGTTACCTCAAGTTATTGCTGCCACAAGAGCAAGTACTTGAGATCGCTCGATGTACTTCATTTTTCCTTTAAATCTGCGAATTTACGTAATTTCGAAACCGTTGTCATTTCTGCGTACTCGTCGTAGTAACACCTATCCGGAGCTGTGCAGCCAAACGGCGAATGGTTCGTAATTCTTTATTCCAGGGAGATCGAAATCAATGGGCCAATACAACAGAAGCAGGAGGTAAGTTCTGGCGCGGCTTCTTGGCAAGTAAGTGGAACAAAATAGCCTGAACAAGCTAGGACCCAATCGCCACACGGCTCGTCGCAGCGGCAGCCTCCGATGCCAGCTTGTCACTTCATAACGATCTGAAAGGTACAAAAAGAAGAGACGAGCAAGAAAGTTGAAGCGAGTATCAGGGCGTAGGTATATACATATAATATAAATGCTGCTGCTGCTGTATAAATGTATGCGTACCTCGGTATAACTCGGTATAGGATCTATAAGGAATGTGTCTCGTGGCTGTCAAACAGGTTCGAGGAGTAGGCGAGGGAGCTCCTCCAGCACCAGAAGAAGAGGAGAGACACGAAGGCTCTGCTGCCTGCGCTATTTTACATATCCATACGCATAATAAATAAATAATAAGCGAGAGGCGGTGGCAGAGCATCGTCTAGTGGCGGCTTATCTCTCTCACTCTCGGGATATGCAGCTGCAGCTTCGAATGTCGTTGGCCTACGGTAGTGCACACTCTACGCTCCGGTTACCTTCATTACGCGGGGGTCATTAACATTCGATAAGCGTGGGAGAGCGAGCCGATATCCTTCGAGCTTTCTCGTCTCAATCTGGTATAGTTACTGATTAAAGCTCGGCCGAATTTTACAGCCACTGTCGCTTCTTCGTTTTATTCTTGCTTCTTCGAGGGATCCACCCTTTGTAGCACGAGCGGGCGTCGAAAGTAAGTTATTAAAGCATGAGGCTGCAACAGAAAAGCCATGAAAATGAATTAAAAAAGTCATGGAAGGTAATTACAAGGCAGGGCTCGCGATATATACACAAGTAGTCTAGCTAGCGGAGACGGTAGTTGGCCTGGGTGTTTTACGATTCTAATGATACGCGCGCGGAGCTGCTGCTGCTGCTGCAACAACGATAAACCGAAATAACCCGCGAGAGCTGAGAGCCCGACTTTTTATCTCGCGGCATAAAGTTCGCGTAGTGGTAGCAGTAATTCGATTCCATCGTCGTCGACGTCGTTATTACGCGAGGCTCGTAGTGCTCCGACCGCTACTCCACCGGCCGCACGCGCCGCAATAAATACAGCTCCAACTGCACATTGGCCTGTTGCTGCTGCTTCGGATTACCTTCCACCACCACCACTACCACCCCCCGAATTTAATGATACTTTACGTTACTGATTTATATGGCGCGCGAGGGGGCATTAAAATCGCTGCTGCGTCGCGTTTCGTTGTTATTATTATTATTGTTGTATACGAAAAACGAGACGCGCCGCGACGACGTTTCGCCCCGGCTTGTTTTGACGCACGGGCCTCGCGCGATTATTATTTTTCAATACGAGTAGCCGTACTTATATACGTATAGGAGAAAGGAGAGAGAGAGAGAGGGAAGCAAAGCAAAGAAAAAAAAAAGGAGGCGAGGAATGTCTCTCGGAGAAGGTACGAAAGCTCACCTCCTCGCTCAACTGCAGTGTACAGTACTCTGCGGCGCATATTATGTAGGCATATTATGTGTGGCATATACGAGCGCGCGACTTTTTATTAGCCCTGGCTCGTAACTGCAGCAGAGAGAGAGAGAGAGATGAGTTTTAGCCGCGCCTAATTAAGACCTCTTCTTCCTCCTAAGCCTTTATATATCCAAAGGCCTGTTGTCGTCATCGTCGGCGCCGCCATTGCTTGTGCCTCGTACGGCACGTAATAATGATAATAACGTATTATAAAAGCGTGTTTTTAAAGGCATCGACGCGCGGCGGCGGCATATATAGCGTCGTTTAACGGGCCCGTTAAAAAGTCGCGTCGCGCATATATGCATGCAGAACGATAAGCCGTTCTCCAGTCATTGCGCAATTTGATGGGCGAAAAATTATACTATCGCGCGCGCGAGCGTTAAAGAAAAATAAAATCGGCAGAAAAAAAAGGAAACGCTTATATTAAGCTGCTTACTTATATACTTGTTTACATTATTCGTTCACGAAGCTGCTGCGACGCGAGCGAGCGAGATGCCGCCGCAAAACGCGTGTAAATATAATTGAAGAAATTCATTCCGCGAGGAAGAGAGGATATTATAATGCCGATTGTCCATGTTGTGCTTTCTGTTGTGTCGTGCCCGTGCCCGCGACGACGAGAGATAGGCAGCAACGACGACGACGACGACGACGACTTGATTTGCACTCGCGGCGAACATTACAAGATGACGACACGAGACGACGCCAAATGTGCGTCGTTAATTTTGAATTGTTGCGGTCACGGTGGCCGCGAAAGACAGAGATAGAGGCAATTTTCCCCGCTTTGTTTTTGTCGCTCGCGCGCGCGTCCGACGGCTGTGTGTATATGTCCTTGTTTGTGTGTTTTTCTCGAGAAGAACTGCCACACACACACGTATACTCTTCCCGCGAGGAGCTCTGGACTCCTATTAAGAGGAGTGTAGCGCGATATCCTACAACTGCACACGCACGCACACACACGTACACGACACTTGGGATAACTGGTGTTGAAATCGCATTATGGACGAGAGCATCGTCGGAATGTCTCGCGCGCGCGCGACTCGCTTCGATGCCCCCTGCACAAGTCAACAAGTGCACACGGCACAAAAACAATTGCCGCGCGACCACCCCTGTAACGACGTATCTTTATACATATACGAGAAGATATAGCGAACGGCGATGGTCGTCGAGTTATCTTTCTTCCTCTCGCGTGTTTTCTTTAGAGGAACGTAGTATAACCATCGGCTCGATTTATGTATCCTTGCGTTTCTATACTAGAGCACCTCGCGAGGGCTTACTACCTTCGGTGTAGAATCCACTTGACTTCCGTAGGCACAATTTCTTCTGTTACTCAAAGAATTTTTAATACAAACTGACTCCGATAACAGCTCCAATACTGCCTTCGAAATTCTTGACGTCGAATACTCAAAAATCTGACGATGCGCGGCGGCGAGATCGAAAATCCGTTTCTAGATTCGAACGCGACATCTTACCGCATTCGAGCGCACTACGCTGTCGATACTCGCCGTCTAGGTGGCGCAAGCTACTGGACAACCGCTCGGAACACGAAAACGCAGTGACTCGTGCATAGAACGCATACAGTATACGATAGCCGAGACGTTCCAAAATACGAGAGAAAACGAGGGGTGGGGGAGATCGACTCTGGCAAGTCTCATGGCTGTTCCAAGCGCGTAGAACTGTACACAGAGGCGCTTCCGTATGCTTGTGGTTGTGTACACACGACGCGTAAAATCTTTCGGGTGGTTATAATAAACGCCGTTCCAGCTCGTGATACACATAACACAGGCAGCAGCAAGCGTCTACTCTGTATACCGTACACACTGTTGTAGCGTCACCATTGCGGGCTCGTGGTGATGCTACGTTTTCAATCATGTTGACTACGGCTTGACAGCAGTATTTACCGTAGCGTCAACCAGAGAGAGGCCCATACAACTCAGTTTTATAATACAATATAAGTGCGTGTGTGCGAGCGAGCATCGCAGCAGTGAGGTTCGGCACGCGCGCGCGTGCATAACACACGATATTTATTTCGTCTCATGTGTGCTGTGTGAAAAGCGAGCGCAGCAGCATCATGACGACCAACAACAGTGTATCTGCCAATGGTTTCGCCAACCAGCCCAATTCTACCCCTCATGGTGAGTTATCGTTAACGGCTTCTTATTTTTTCGATCGATGCCCCGAGTCGTATCTAAATTTTTTTTCCATTCTAAACAGCCGAAGCAACGGTACTCGGGCTGGCTTCGCCCAAAAAGTCCAAAGACTCGGAGCTGCAGATGCTCATGGAAAAGTTACGCTCCAAGGTCAGCAGCTTCAAACCCTTGGCCGAGACTGCCAAGAGCATAAGGATGGCCATGCTCGTACGTACATTGACTTTTCCTCTCGTAACATAACCTATCGTGGTAGGAAATTTTCTCATTGCTTTTCTTTTCTCCGATCAGGATAAGCGCTTTGGACTCGACAGCGTGGAAAAGAGCCAGTTACAAAAGTCCCTGGACATGCTGCAACATTCCATTAAAGTTACTACCTTGCAGTCTATGGTGGAGCGTCTCGAGAGTTTATCAAGACAGTTAGGGTATGTTTTGTTATCATAACGTAGCGTTATGTAGCTGAAATATGTAGCTCAGTCATGTTTTAATTATAACTGGGTTATTGAGCTACCACTTCAAACTGTACATATTGCAAACCTTTCTCATAATATTATTAATTGATTGTGTAAAATTTTCATTTTTTACTTAGGTTGAAGTTTACGATTCCCAATACATCAAATGGTCCCTGCACTGAGCTCTTTATATCATCAGACATGTTTTATTTAGAGATCATACTGGAACCTTCTGGTGTTGTGAGAGATGTCAAAATACATCACGAAGGAAAAGCTGAACAACAGAGTTGCGAAGATCTTGTTTCTTGTCTGACAAATGGAGATTTCGTTGATTTTACTGCCCAACTAGAAGGTTTAGCATCAATATATCAGTTAAATGCTGATAAAAAAGTTAAGTGTAAAGCGTTTAGTGCTTTGCAATCCTTAGAAACTGATTTAGAGATTTTAGCTCAAACTCAAACCTTCATCAAAGAACCATTTAATCTGGTGCACAAGTGTCCTGTTGGTAAGTGAATTTAAAATATAATCATTCATATTCTATTTATTTACATAAAAAAGTCATTTCATATTTGATATATTTTTAGGCATTCTTGAAAAAAGGAAAGGAGGCCACGCTATGAAATTAACGTATTTTGTTTCACCTTATGATCTAATAGACATAGAAAAAAAGACGTGTGAGCCATTGAGCTTGGAAGCTGTGATATCGAAAAAAGTCGGCCATTCTGTCACTGTATGTATGGAGGGATCTACTGCCCATAGGTTACCAACATCTAGTATTATAACAGTTGACCGAAGTCCTACTGGTATAAGGTAAGAAAATATCATACTAAACTTCTTTGGATAATATTTTTGTGAATAAATTTGTCTTTTATTAAATTTTAATCAAAATAACGAGTAATAATTGTCTTTTATTTATTTACAGTAAACCTGATTATGCTGTATTAATGGGCTCTAATTCTTCAATGTTACCAGCCTGTTTTGTTCTCAAATTATCTGAAAAAATGCCAATATGTTTGGAATTATTGAGGCGCATCCAAAAAGATACAGATCTTGAGTGTACAGATGTTTCACCAGCTGGACCCTTATTAAGTATGATTGTACAGCATGCTAGTGATAAACAATTAGATTGTAAAAATAATAAAGGATTATCAGTTGTAAGTATTTCATATCAACATGACTTCAGTAACATTCATTTTGTGAATATATTCATTTATTTGTATCTTTGCAGAGTCTTCCAGATCAACAGCATTGCTATTTTATGACTGAAAATAGTAACATGCAAGGTGTACTAGTAGGCAGTATTCCATTCACACATCCAGCCCATGTTCCGAAAATTTTAGTTCATCTTAGGCAGCAAGCTTTATTCAACACTCTTATTTCAAGCTGTGTGAGACCAATGGCTCGTCATGATTATAATCATTCAACAACCATTTTGGAAGTTAGTGCCTTATCCTGGCAATGTATATCTGTCAGTTTGGAGCATCCATTTGAAGAAACACTTGCTACTGCAGAACTTGATCTTTCAGGAATATCTGCTTTGAAATGTAAACTGTATGGTGTTAATGCCAACAACAGTGAAAAAACTTCTGAACTGGCTGGCAAAGTGCTTCAGCGTTGTCTCAGCATTCCTTTGACTATGCGTACTTTAATTAAAGCATGGGAGGGTCGAACTTATAATCTTAATTCCACCAACACAAACGGCAATTTTAATGGTGGTCTTGGTTCTAATGGGCGACCTGAACCAAATAATGGACAACCACCTCAACACAATGGAACAAATAATGCTGATTTTATGAATGGAGAAATTAAGATTAAGCAAGAGCCTAACACAGGTGGAATGAATGGTGGGACACGTCAACATCAACAATTACAAAATATTCAGCAGCAGCAGTCTTTTTTAGATGCCGGAGCGGAGAATAGTATCGGGTTCCCTGCATTTTCCGGCGTTGCCGATACAGTTACTTCATCTGTAAGTTCTCCTGGATTATCAACTGGCAGTCAAGCTACTGGCAAAAAAGTACGAAAACAAAAATCGGAAACGTCATCTTTGTGGAAAAGTATTAAACGAGAGCCTAGTGAAATGTCATTGGAGAGCTCTAGTTTAGATTCTACTCCTCTTGGTACGCCCAAAGAGGAAAATCGAACACCAACTCCAACAAGCACTGATTCATCCAATATGGATGCAACAGACAGTTCGATTGTTATCAAAAATTCAGATATCGATAGCACAAAAAGCGATATAGTAACGATTGATACATCTATCGAGCGAAAAATCAAAAAAGAAAAGCTTACATCTAGTGTACTCGAAGACACAAAAGCTCTTGTTTCTCCTTCAGTAAGCATAACTCCAGTTACTAATCAAAGCGCAAGTTTACAACAGAATATGCCTCAAGGTAGTCAACAAAGTAATTATAATGCCATGTTGAGCAGTATGGGACTGGAGAGGCGGCCTGGAATAGAAATCATACCTATTACATCCATTTCTCAAGCTCAGTTGCCCAGCTCAATCACAATAACAGCAATTACTAATCCCAACAAACCTTCATCGTCTTCATCCTCGTCGTCGTCTTCGTCGTCATCGTCGTCGTCCACTGTAGGCGATGATCGAAGCAAAGATCGTAAAAGTAGCAAAAGTAGCAGCAGCAGTAGCAGTAGTCGGAGTATAGAAGAAAAACTTAGATTAGAAAAAAAAAGAAAACGAAAACACGAGTCATCTAGTCCGTCGATGGGACCACCGGAAAAGTTACCTTTTAAACAGGATTCGTCATCGAAGCCCGCGTCGTCGATTAGCATAAAACCAGCTGAATCACCTCCTACTTCGCGACCAACATCACCTGCAATGGCAAATATACGAAAATACAGTTCATCGCCGAGTGGTATGATGATGATGGGAAAGTCGAGTCCTACTCCAGGTTTGAAACAATCGCCCGTTGGTGCTGGTAAACCAAGTCCCAAGCATTCGCCGGTTTACAGTAGCCCTAAGCACATGAGCTCCATGCCACCCAGTAGCAGTCCGAAATCCATTTCCTCTCCGAAACACGGCAATTCTGGAAGTTCGGGCAAACCCAGCATGTCAACGCTCAAGTCAGCATCGAGCAGTAGCTCGGCATCATCGAAGAGCGACGGGACTAAAGCTAAAGTATCTTCCGGAATGTCATCTTCGTCATCGGCGTCGTCTTCCTCGTCATTATCTACGTCTGGGCTTACTTTAACTCCTGTACCTTCGTCGTCTTCGACGTTATCGTCAACATCGAGCTCCTTGATGAACAAAGATAAAGAGAGGAAACCCGGTATGTTTGGTTCTAGCAGTCCAGGACACCAAAGTCCCAAGTCAAAAAGTTCAGTACCCAAGGTGAAGACTCCTGAAACAGAACAAGGCAATGGGGGTCGTTCCGAAAGTTCCACGCCACCCGCCGCTGATCCGAGTAAATCATCTATCAATCAGCAGCAGGCCCAGGCTAGAAATCGCAAAGGCTCTCTCAGTGCCGTGATCGAAAATCTCAAGCTGAAGCATTCGAGCGACGAGTCGACCGTACCAAGCGGTAGTGGTACCGCTCCTGCTCCAACTGCGAGCGCGCCCGGTGTCAAAACTGGCGAAACGAAGAATCCGACCGAATACATGGTTAAACCAAGCTCCGATGGCATAAAATTGACCATCAACAAAACCAGAACGAAGGACGCGAAAAGCAACAGTTCCAGCAGCAAACTATCCCAAGGCAGCAATCCATCTACCAGTGCATCGACTTCCTCCTCGGGTTCTGGTAATGGATCTCCGAAGCTTTACACTGGCCTGAAGCACGGAGTCTCCTCTGGGCCGAGCTCGTCGAAGAAACCAATGGGCCAAACCTTGACAAAGGTTCTACCTTGCTTTTTTTCGCTAAACATTCGTAATTATGCTGTTTTGCAAAAGACAGAATTAATTAAGACACAGACTGCTCTGGCCTTTTAAATAAAATTATTTAAAATAAATAGTTACTTTGTTTATCGGTTTGATGTAGAGTCGCATGAAAGATTCATCATCCAATCGATATTATGTACAGATTACACTGCCAATCAACACAAAAAAGCTTCACTTGAATTGTGATTGAATTGGATTGCGAAATCATGGTCCAAATGTGTTTGTGAAGATTATAAATATACTTTTATATGTGCCAATAAAAGCTTAATTTACTAAAATCTTTTTTTCTTTTAATTTTTTTCTATTTGGAAAGAGTCATGATTTCATTATTTGATACGATTATTTTCATACCTCATTCTGTAGTCAGTAGTACGTTACTGTTCATTTTACATGAGGTATTATTTATTTGATTGAAAAATATATCTAAAGAAAAAATGTGTGCTATTCAGAATAGTGTGAATCAAATTCTTTTTTTTTTTTTTTTAACGTACGCAAAAATATTTATCAAAATCTCAATGATATTATTTTATGTTAAACTGTAAAGGTCCGCTCATCGTCTCCACTTGTCACCGGTAGCAGCCGGAGTTCCATGGGCGGTCCAAAGGTAGCCAAGGCAAATCCGGGCTCGAACCTCCTGAGCTCGAGCAGCAGTAGTAGTTTCAGTAAATCCGCATCGAACAAGGGATTTTCCACGTTGGCCAAAGTAGGCGCCCTGACGCCGGCTCACATAGCGCGTGCTCGTGAAAAGGCCCGCTTCAAGTCGGGCGAAAAGTTGTCGAGCTCGAAAGAGAACGAGAGCGAAAAACCGTTTAAGCTCATGCCGGCTCACGTGTCTCTGGGAAGCGGTCTCTCGGCTCTGCCTGGCTTCCCGTCTCAGCTCGTAGAGGGTCTCGTGAAAACGCTAGATACCACATTTCAAATACCAAAAATATCGGCCAGAGTCAACGCAGCCGACGCGGGTGGCGACAAAAGATCCGTCGACAAGGTCGATTCTAGTGCTGGTAAATCATCGTCCGCGAGCAAGAGCGTCGAGCAGCTCCCCGCTCACTCGGACGTTCCGACGAATCTGTCGATGCAGATGAACGATCGATCCAAGGTTGAGTCGAACGCGGCTCGACAGTACTACGGCGGATCGAATCCGAGCACTAAAGACGGCCACGACGGCAATTCAGGATGTTTGAATCTCAGCAAATCTTCAGATACTAAGAAACCGGTAGGTATCTACACTGAAGCCCATAATTTTACCCATCACACAAGCCATAGTTGACTTTTACTTATTTTTTAATTTTTATTTTGTTATCATTTCATAAAAATTAATTTTTTTTTTATGAAAAATTTTTTATTTTTTACTAATTACGACACAAAACCCCACACACTCTGCCATAAACAGAGTAGTAGGAGAAATTATTTTCGTTATGGTAAAAATTAGATGGAGCCCTTGTCGTCGCCGGTAACCGTACCCGCGAACAATACGCCGCCGACGACCTCGCAAGAGGCGGCCGAGATGCTGCTGGATTTTTCCACGCCGAAGGAGTCCTCCTCCTCGGCGAAACAACAACAACCGCAACAACAACAACAATCACAACCACAACCACAACAACAGCAACAACCCTTGGCAGCGTTGACTTACACGCCGCCGTCGTCGTCACCTCTGCGCAAGAACGCCACGCCACCGCCGCCGCCTCCTCCGCCTCCGCCGTTGCCGCCACCGCTGCCTCCACCGGCGGTGGTGAGCGCTGTGTCACCGCTGAGCAGCTTTCCGCAGAGCCCGTCCGTGAGCCTGCATATCGTGAAAAGTCCAGCGCCGTCGCCGAGGGTCATACCGCTGTCGCCGCACTCGGCCTCGCCTTGCATCACCGACGACGAGCTCATGGACGAGGCACTTGTCGGTAGGTGCTGATGATCGTTAGCTTCGGAGACACTATCATTATCGCTATCATCACGCTTGTATTCATATTAGACGTTTAGTTAGGTTTGACCACTCACCGCATTAACAAGTATATTATTAATAATAATCATGGGAGTTGTGCTCTTCGTATATTAAAAAAAAGAAATCTTCTCATTCATTAGCTTTAGTGCATCATAACACCACTTGATTAACACGATGTTCGATGTGCCTCTGACTAACGATATTACCGACCAATTTTACACAGCATCGGATTAATCATCGCACCCCTCATTGATCGAACTTGATAATAAATCACTGAACTTGTTCATTATTTTTCTATTCTATTTGTAGGTTCTTGATAACTTGAAGAAGTACAGTATACTAGTACCGTTGTCTATACTTCATTTACTACTTCAGCACTCGAAGATTATAAAAAATTTATATATTTTGACGTACGTAAATACTCTCTACGTAAATATAATCATGGTTGTGTAATAATAAGCATATAACAAAGCCAAATGGGTTAAAAGTGAAGATTAAATGGGCGAAGATATACATAGATGACAATCATGTGTAAGGAAAAGTATCCATGACTATTGTCGATTCGACGCAAGAGTACAACCTCGCAAAATTACTCGAACCATAAGTGCGACTCTGTTGAAAGATTTTTAATGTGAAAATTCGATTCGATGACGAAAATAATTGTTAACATTTTTCTTAAAAAAAAGGCCTGCTCAGGAGTAGGCGGATAAGTGTATTTTTCTTTGTATTAAAAAAAAATCAAAAAACAACTCAGATTAATTATACAATTACACTTGAAAACTAAAGCCTCTACGCGAGCGACGTTCCAAAATTATATCGCTTTTCGACAAAGCTGAATCAAATTGATCTAAAAAGAATGTATTATATTTGAAATCGTTTAGTTTTATATTATACATATGAATACAAATCGACTGGCGGTTTCAATTAGTAATTAGGACAAAAAGATACAAATGAATGTATAGAGAATATATATTATGTAAATATATTTATAAATACGAATCAATATTACCGCGATTATTGATGCGTTTTATTATTTATTACCTGCGCAAGGTTTAAATTTATTTATCAAATTGTAAAAAAGTTGTTTATTTTTATCAATTCGTATATATCGTTATATACCCGCTGCTCGACGACGAATGATCAAATGTATACGAGCCGATCGCTAAATTATTTTTTTTGTAATCATGAATTTATTTACACAACATGCATGGTACACAGACACACACATATACACAAACACAGATTGATATACTATATTTATGACTTTTTATTGTGCATGGAGAATTTTTTCTTTCTTTTTTTTTCTTCGAAGTCAGATGTATAAATTTCACCGTGACGAATAAGAAAATAAATGTTATAACTGAAAACCGTTGAATTATGTTATTATTTGTAAATCCTCTCTCGCTCGTCGATACGCGAGCTTGAGCAATCAACTATTTTAATGCGTCCGCTTATATGAAGCAGGAAACTTTGTGATGTGTGTGACGCGCGGTAAATAGTGAGTGGAATTCCAGCTCCCACAATGTAAATGATAAATATAAACTTCGCGAAGACTGGAAAACTCAGGAGACCGATAAATTACGTAAACAGTGCGGTGCTCTTATTTCATTATTATGCGTGCGCGCGCGGAAAACACAAAAACCCAAAGTTTTTCCTCCTCGCCTCGTCTGCGCGCCGAGTTTTTCCCTTTATAATCGGCCGGCGTTCGCCTCGAGCTCGTCAGTCTTGGCTCGTATCTTCATCATGTCAGTGACAACGCTTGGTTTGAATATTTTCTTATTGGTCGCGCTGCTCGGCAGCGCCTCGGCCGCCTTCTTCTGCGACACCGCGGTTCTCGGCTTCCAGTCGCATCTTCCCCGAGACACGAGTAATCTCGGCAACGGACCGGTTCGCTATTACCAGCGGGCCCACGGCAACGGCCGCACCGAAGTCATGGAGGCGCTCATCGAGCCCAAACACCTGAACAAGGGCTCGGCACCGAACAAGGCCGCTCGAGACTACGCGCACCGAATGGGCAAGGCCAACGACGACGCCGGCCACATACTGGCCGCCCGACTCGGCGGATCCGGAACCGACTTGAGGAACATCTTCCCCCAGAGTAAGAACATCAATCGGGGCGTGTGGGCGCAGGCCGAGGCCGACGTGGCCAACGCCGTGCAAAAGTACAAGAAGATCCATTACGTTGTGAATCTCATCTACAAGGACCAGAAGGCCACGAGGCCCTATCAGATCAATTACAAGGTGACCAAGCCCGACGGCGGGGTACTGTTCTGCAACGACGTAGTGAATCCCAATTAAATGAAATTTCGATGTGTGTTTTTTTTTTTTTTTAACGGTATATAATCTATTTGTAACATATTCGAAAAAAAATAAACTGTACACTCGAAGAAATAATACATTATTATCCTATAATATAACGATCATAGCTTTAACGATTAATGGCACCCGCATATACACATATGAATATAATCAACAACAAAAATATACATAATATATGTATCTCGGATCTTTCTCTCTCTCCCTCGATTATTATCTACATGTAACCCACTGTGGAGTTTCGACACGTCCAGCTCCTCGGCATGAGTAAATCTCTCATATGTCCCTGATAAGGCGGACAATGGGCCCTTGCGTAGTACTCCATGGAGTAGAGACTGAACAGCAGCCCGGTGCCGGTGAACAGACTCCACCAGATGAAGACGTTGCCGTCGACCTTGGAGTGCTTCTTGGTGAGAAAGACCAGCAGCACGCCCATTATGCCGAACGACACGAACATGACCGGGTAGAAGAATCCGAAGGCGAAGGCGAGTATGTACTCGTGCACTATGGCCGATATGTAGAACACGGCCAGGGTGGCCGGGAGCTTTTTGCCCCTCGTCGCGTGATACACGTCCTTGTAGACGTACTCGTACAGCCAGTCGTGCACGGGGATGTTCCAGAGCCGATAGTAGGCGTCGAACGAGGTGCTGTTCCACCAGTCCTTGTAGAATTGACGATCGGCGAAGCGCAGCAGCTCGGCGAAGAGATTCTGGGTGGAGTGGAGGACGCAGTAGAAGCCGAAGAGAAACATGACCAAGCCCGGGAGCATGAAGGAGAAGGTGGTCATGACGGCGAGCTTGGGCTCGAATATGTCGCGGCCGTACTTGTCGAACGGGGGCAGGATGAAGCGCTCGAAGATGAAGGATACGTAGAAGATGGTCATGCAGATCTCGAGCAGGTTCCAAAGGGCGACTCGCCAGCGGATAGTCGCTAGCCTATATAAAAACATTATTTAAAATTTTTAACGCACCGCTCTGATTAATTAATCACGATCGTAAGTACCTTGGATACTCGTCGCGGTATATGAGGGTCGGCGCGAAGAAGAAGTAGAGAAACTTGGAGAATTCCGGACAGCCGACCACCGCGGCTTCTTTGTCCTCTCCGTCCACCTTGTCCTTTTTACTCGACAACATCCTGGTCGCGTTGGTGCGCACGAAGGCGTAGGTCTTCATCAGCATGCGCACCTGCTCCATCATGAGCAGCAGACTGGACGCGGGTGGCAGTCGTTCCAGCACACACAGTCTCGCCGGTAAATAAATAAAAGCGGCTTGTTGCACGAGGAGTGTCAGACAGGCCAGGAAGTCGATCGATCCCCGTTGCAACGCTGCGCAAAAAGAGGTAAATAAAAGAGGTAATCTTTTCCTTCAAATCCATCGATCGAATGTAATCTTACCATTTGCCGCGGGTATCTCTCGCCGTTTCCTCGCCCAGAGCTGAAATCCTTGATGAGTGGCGAACGTCGATCCGGCCATGAGCAGCCAAGCCACGAGCACCTTGTCGATCTGTCCGAAGCCGGCTTTGATGGTTTTCAGGCCGAGATGGGTCTCGCCCTGCTCGAGCACGTCCTGCACCGCGGTGTTGGTCACCAGCACGATCAGCATGACCACGAAGATGTTGTAGATCGTCTTGATGTGATTGATCTTGAGGAGATCGGTGAGGTACGAGTTTCTGGGCAGAAAGACCTTGGTGGCGAGCTGTCCCTTTCTGCGTCTCGCGTCGTCGCTCCTGTACACCATCGTGAAAATAGAAAAAAAAATAATGTCAATTCGTCTCTTCTTTATTTCCAAGGTACAGCTAGATATAGTGGCTCTCTTACGCGACTTTTTCCGGGCTGCCGTTGCGAAAGAGCTGGAGCTCCGCCTGGGTCATGGTGTTGATGCTGAGCCGAGCCATCACCTCGTCCATCATGCAGTTGAGCTTGTGGCTGAGATCGCTGATGGTGCTCTGGCGCATCTCGCTCATGCGCTTCTTCAGATTGTCCATGCATTCCTCGTCGAGGACGACGCTGCTCTGGCGCGACAGTCTCGGCGCTGCTGTAAAAATTCGGCTGATTAAAAAAAAATACCGAAATATTTATCGTATCGAGGCTGACGTGCGTAAAACGCATAGGTACGACGATCGTCGCTATCCACGTGCACTTTACGCAGACTCGAGAGTAACTGTACGTGAAGGGCTTTCGACCTTGACCCGTGAATTAAATCGCGCGTTTATATATAAATTTTAACTCGTTGATTGATCTGGATCGCGCGCGGATGAACTCCGGAGCGTACCGAAAGTTTCCGCTGCGTCCCAGCACACGTGGTGATCGGAGTACATTTTTTTTTAGTAAGTCAAATACGTAGCGATCGATCGACCGATTGTCGCGCGTCCCAAATTCGGTCACCCACACGCGCCTAAGTTTCGCGATTTTACAGATAAAAAAAAATTAAATAAATCAGGCGACTATAAAAAATAAATCAAAAAACCGTACCCGCAACGGGGATCGCTCCATTGGACCGACTGTGATCGCGACTCGGAGGCGTGTGCTCGGTGCTGCTGTCGTTGCTGCTGATGCTATCGGAATTGATGCCATTGGAGCTCATGGTGTCGTCGATGAGGTGCTTGCGATCGGCCAGCGACACGAAGCAGCTGCACGGCTGGGCGATGGCGAATTTCGGCAGGAAATTCTTCAGGCAGCTCTTGGGCGATCTCAGACAGTGCGGGCAGATGTTGCTCTCTTCTTCTGCTGATGCTACCGATGCTGGTGTTGTTACTGCTACGTCGACGTCGGATGCGACGATCTGTTCCTTGCCTTGGGGGCTCGGGCTCATATCTTCATTTCGCGCGCGCCGATTGCACACGATTATTATTCCACACGAAACACACAACAAACAAACAAACGCGCACGAGCTGCTGCAGTTCCTTCGTAGCGTTGCGCGTTTACGCACTACCGTCTCGATCGTACACGAGCCGCGATTTACGCGCGCGAACGAGTTCGAGCCGATCTATTATAGCCTGTACGCAGGCAGTAGCACTCGATCGTCTCTGATCCCCACCGAGAGAGCTTAGGCTTATCATAGAATTATTACATGTGTGCCCTATACACCGCTGCTATGTACACGCGCGCGGGCTACGATACTCTGATTTTGATTAATAATAATATGCCTCGGGGAAGAGAGAGCGAGAGATAATCGAATTTTTACGTACAAACGTGCGTAATAATCGCGAGTGCGGTACCCGAGAGACACTTGTCCGATATACAGTAAATGAATCGCTTCGAGTCGTGTACGCATCTACATAACAGCAACGTGTGTAGTACGACGCGAAAGTGATTCACGTATTAAATTCTTTTCTCTCTGTCTCCCTCTTACTCTGGCTTACTCATCTCTTTCGGCAGGTGTACAATTGCACGATTTATACACAAACAAACCGCGCGAGTGAGTACAGGCGCACTCGCGCGACGAGTAGCTGCGGTTCATTATCTCGACAGCTATAATAGCGCGTGTTCGACGCGGAGACTTTAATATAATACATTATATTGTAATCGATGATCGCGGCCCAACGTTCCCTGAGCTGCAGATAGTGCGCGCCGCGAAGAAAAGTAACGACCGATTCATTATCACTATTCTTACTTGCGCGCATATTATTGTGCGTTATTGTTTTTCTCCTTTCGCTTTGCCGTTCTTTTCATTTTTTGTAAATCCAGGGAGCTTTAATTGATAATTATCACCGCGAGCCCGAGCGAGGATTAAGGAAAGGATTGCGTACATTAGCGCGTGGAATTTTAGAGTCGACCCGCACACGCGCGCGCCTGATCGATCGTGTTGACGTCTGTAATTTTTTTTGTCACGTACATCGTCGATAAGAATCGAGCGAGTATGGTCTCTAAATAGTATTATTTTTATACCATATGTATAATTTAAACTCTATGAAATCGATCATTTCGCGTAGACAGTTGCCAGTCGATGTAGGCGCGAATTATTAAAAGATTAGAACTTTATAATTGAGTACATATTTCGTCGATCGCAATCGTTGAAAAAAAAACTATTATCATCGCCGCAGCATGCGCCAATATGCTTTATGTTTTATCAAGCATCATTATTGACTAGGAATTTATTGCCTTATTTGCTGCTGGCTGTGGACACGATTTCATAATTGAGCGAATTTTTCGTGGTGCAACGACAAAGGCGCAACGCGATGCGCGAAACAAGAACAATTGACCTATTTCTTCGACCGATAAGGACTCCCCATTGTAGTACGGTACGTATCACGTATATAGCAGCAATGACGATCGAGCGATGTAGCATTTTTCCGAGAGTCATCGTCTGAGTGCGAGCGTACCCGGCTTCCGGATCGAGATCTCTCTCTCTCTCTCTCTCGAGTACGCGTGCACTCGCGCGACGCTCCGGGGACACGACGACGATCGATGATGATGATTTTATATAAAGTGCCGTTTTTTTTATTTCGAATGAGTGAGCATGACGAGTACGAAAGAATATAAAAATACTTGACGAGTCTTCTTCTTCTTTTTTTGTTCGTACATTTTTGTGCGATGTCTGAAGAGTGAGAAAAAAATGTAACCACAGAGAGAATAACAAATTGGCATTTTTCTTATATTTTTATCATTCGGTAATAATATATAATTGAATATTTACACAATTTTGCTTAAATTTCCTAAAAGATTATTTACAAATTTTTGTAGTGAATTTTTGTACAGGAGGATCGAATCTGTCGATATCACCGATTGCCACCGGAACCGACGACGTTATTGCCGCCACCACCGCTGACGAAGTGACCGGTCGACTCCGATACCTGCGAACACACAATAGAAAATCTTCCTGTAATTTTCACCTTAATTTTTTTATATTAAAAATCTCTCTGGATAATGACCTGAGCTATCTGCGACAGTGGATCGGTATAATTGCTCCGTTGCGAGTAATTCGTTGTTGTCGTTGACTGCGGTATTCCTGATGCTATTCGATTGTTCGATCCCTTGTAGCCGCTCACCTGTGAATCCGCAAAAAATAAAATTAATCAAATGAAACGAATTCAACAGTATAATCAAAACTCACTTTGTCGGTTATCTTGATCTCCGGGAAAATAGTGCTGAGATTGAAATTCGTCAAACTTCCCGACTGCTGCTGGTGATGATGATGTTGATGCTGCTGATGTTGTTGATGTTGCTGTTGTTGTTGTTGCTGCTGCTGTTGTTGCTGTTGTTGTTGCTGTTGCTGCTGTTGTTGTTGTTGGGGTTGCTGCTGCTGATTTTGCATGATATTGCAATTACTGCTGCTCGTCAAGGTGGTAGAAGTCGCGATGATCGGAGGCACCAAAGTAGCAGTCGCGGAGGCCTTGTGATACGCCACATTCGCGTTTTGATTCTGATACAGGGGCGGTCCGGGCGTCAGGAAGGGATTCGCGTGATGATGATGATAGTCGTCGAGCGGCGGCGCCGCCGAGCCGATACCCGTCAGCGGAAAGTCGTAGTTCTGAGCAGCGTCGGTGGTGGTTTTCCTTCGGCTGCGACCCTTTTGATGAGACGCGGTCGTCGTGGATGTACCACTGTTGGAGCCAGGCAAGTACAATCGCTTGTCGCACGACGAAGACGTCTGATGTTTGTACGTCTGATGGTGATGATGGTGGTGGTGATTTTTCGCGGTCTCTCCGAGCTGCAGCGGTGTTGCACTCGGCAACAGAAAACCATTGGCTGCTCCGTCCAGGTACTCGCTGGTCGCGCCGCTGTTGGTCGGGTGGTTCTCGTGCAGTGCAGGTGGCATCATGTAATTCGTCGGGGTGAAGTTGCTGCCCGAATAGATATTGGCAGCGTTGGTGGAAGGATAGGCGTAGGACGGATTGAAATTTTGATTTGACGTCGTGACGTAGCTGGTGCCACTGTTTGTGGACTCGCTGTCGTTGGCGAAATAATTTATTTGACCATAGTTGGAGTACTTGTTCTTGTCGGAGATGTTGCTTTCATTGTTGCCGATCAATGCCTCGGCCGTATAGTTGCTTTTGCAATTTCGACTGCGCCACTGATCGCTGTTATACTTTTGCTGCTGTTGTTGTTGTTGCTGATGTTGTTGTTGTTGTTGCTGCTGCTGCTGCTGCTGTTGTTGTTGCTGTTGCTGCTGCTGTTGTCTATAGTTACTTTCGTGCTCATGCTGCTGCTGCTGGTTATTATTAGAGGCTTGCTGCTTTTGCCGCATTTCCAATTGACGTTTCGTGCGAGGACTTGCATTCTTATGCTGTTTGCGAGTGGTCGTCGGAGGCGGTTGTTGTTGTTGCTGCTGCTGCTGCTGCTGTTGGCTCTTTTCAACTTTCTCGTGATCAACCAACTGACTAACGGACAAGAAAGGCATGACGTGCGACGAATTGTCTTTGTGAGAAATGTCCTTGGTCATCTGGTTGCCGAACAAGAAATTGTGCTGCTGCTGCTGCTGTTGCTGCTGTTTGTCGGGCAAATTGAGCTCGCCGAGGCCAGGCATCGGATTGGATTCGATAACGACGGGCTTCTGAGCGTCGACTTGCTGCGACGTAGTCATGGCCTTGGTCGGCGACCAAGAGAACACCTGTTGCTGCTCGTCGCTCGTCGTGTAATACGACGTAGTGGCATCCACGTTACTGCGTTTGGTTTCTGCAGGCAGCACCGGTGCTATATTGGAAAAGCTGTGCGTGCTCATGTCGTAATTGTTGTAGAACTGATGATGGTTCGTGCTATTTTGGTTGTAGGTCGGTGCTTGGGAGAATAAATTATTTTGACAGAACTCGAGATCCTTGCCGATCGAAATCGGTGGTAAAATGATGTCGCTAAGTTGATTCGACGTGTTCGTCTTTATCTCTGGGGTCATCATCCAATTGACCGGTGCCCTGGATGGTTGCTGTTGGTGCTGCTGCTGCTGCTGTTGGTGCCCAATCTGTTGCTGTTGTTGTTGAGTCGTATGATTATTGTGCTGCTGCTGTTGTTGCTGAGATGTCTGATTATTATGCTGCTGCTGCTGCTGCTGCTGCGGTGGTTGTTGGTGTTGCTGCTGCTGAGAGATCTGCTCTGGTTTGCTCTTGGTTTGAATCTGCTGCTGGACGTGTTTGTTCGCGTAGACGTTGTTGTCGGGGTTCATCGACGCGACGACCGCTTGCGTATTCTGATATTTGTTCACGGCGACCTGTTGATTCTTGAAGCTCTGATTCGAGACGACGTAGGCGTCGTGATTGTGCGGGTATCGAGACTGGATACCGCCATTGTTTGAATTGAAATTATGGTAGTCCGCCAGCATAAAGTTGTTGACTTTTTCATTTTTATTGTGGTTGATGATGGGCTGCGGCGGTGGCGGTACGACACTCGTCGTTACACTGCTCGTTGTCGTAGTTTTGGCTAGCGATATTTGATTACTGTGCTGACTGTGCTGCGACGTTGGAAGCTGCTGTTGTTGCTGCTGCGATGTTGGAAGTTGCTGATGTTGCTGCTGATGCTGAGGCATCGCCTGCAAACCGTAGTTGTTTTGCTGCTGGTACTCCATGTCGTTCGCCAGGAATTTGTATTTATTTTTATTCTCCGTAGAAAACTTATACTCGGAGCTAGGCATGATACTGTTGTGATTTCGAGCGGTGGTTTTTTGCACGAACGTCTGCTGCGGAGCTGCCGCTCGAACGTTGCGCGACTTGTTGTTGCTCATTTCGTAAGATCTCTTGTGCGGCTCTACGCTCAATTTCGGCTTGGGTTTGTCGAAGTTCGAGCCTTGGCTCGTGCTCGTTGTGACGTAGCTGGGTTGCGACACCGAACTCGAAAGCGAAACCACCGACGACGACGACGACGACGAGGCGTAATTGAAGTTCTCGCAGACGCTCGTCGTCTTGCTCGTCGTTTCCGACGGGGTTAGCGGCAAATGTTCGTATTGGTTGTAAGCGAGGTGGTTGCTGCCTCCGCTCCCGTTATTATTTCCACTGTGCGGCGCAAACGTCGTCCAGGACAAAATACTGAAGTTCGAACTGGTGGTGCTTGCAGCGACCGTAGTCGTCGTAGAACGCACTGCCGCTGCCGCAGCCGTATTTTCCTCGTAACCGCTGCTAGACACGATGTAAGGTGACGACTCGGTTGACTGGAAATTGTTCGATCTGCTGCTGCTGCTAGTCGGTTGTGCCATTTTTGACATTGAATTGTTGCTCGTTTGCGACGAGGAAGAGGAAACCATGACTTTTTTGTTGATCTTGCTGTTGTCGCATTGAACGCTATAAGATGCAGCCGCGGAGCTCGGAATCTCTAACTCGGTTTTCTTATGATAGAAAATGTTGCTCTCGTTGACGACGCTCGACACGGACACCCTATTTTCCACCTTTTTGATCGACGAGTGGAAATTATTGTTCGCCGATTGACTCTGAACATTCTGCTGCTGTATCGGCGCCGAAGTCTGAATTTGTATCTCAGCCTTTTGCATCTTATCCGGCTGAATGTTTTTATTGCTGTGCGTAGTAGCTTGTTGAGGTGGAGCCGGGGGTGGTGGCAATGGTAGCGGCGCGACATGAGCGACTTGTGCACCTTGAAACGAGTTGGTGTTGTCCTTGGTGTTGTTTCTCGCCGAGTAGGTGTTACTGCGCTCGGTGAAGTCTTCCATCGAGCAGATCTGAAGCTTGCACAGGTCCCGATCGGTGGGAATCTCGTTGTCGACTTGACAGGTAGGAAAATTGAACGAGTTGCTGCTGTTGACTCGCTGCTGTTGTTGATCGTTTTTACTATTATTTGTGGGAGTGGACGATGACTCGCAGCTCGGATTATTATTCGGGTAATTATTCGCCTCGTATTTGTTTTGATGATGATGTTGATGATGATGATGGTGATGATTATCAGAGCCCATCGAGTTGTTTACGGGCAAAGACGACGAATTGTTGGTGCCGATGTACTTGTTCAAGATATCGTTGGCCATGGAATTCGTTATCGACGGCAAATTCGTGTCTTTGGTGTAGTGGAAGTTTTGTTGCTGTTGCTTGTTTTCATTGATCGTGTAATTCTGGCTGCTGCTGCTCGGCGATGGCCTGTTATTATTCATGTTCGACACCTGCGTCGTCGTCGTCGTTGCTCGGGTGTTCGACGACACCGAAACAGCTGCGGCTGGTACTACGGCCGACAACTTTTGCTCGGGTACCGAAACGGGATTATTTGGCCTGTTGTTGACCTGTTGTCCCGTGGACGTCGGGATGATTTTGTAAGTTTCCGAGACGCTCTGGTCGCTGATTATCCTGGGCAGTTGCTTCGCCATGCTCGACGCCTCGCTCATCGGGCTCGTGTCATCCACGCTTTCCGTTTTCATCTGCAAGTGTTGTTGATGACTCATCGCTTCCAAATTCTCGTTGTTGTTGCCCACCACCACACCGGCTTGCTGCCTCGAATTGATCTTGAAGTTGTTGGGCTCGATCGTACCGATCTGCAGCAGCATCGGCGGGGTCTGGCTGCTGTACTTGAAGTCGTCCTTCATCTCGTCGTCGAGCACCTCGGCTTTGCCGCTCAGCGACGACACGATGGGGAAGGCCAGCAAGAAGGCCGCGGTGGGCGATATCGACTCGGAATTGTTCGAGCTCGAGGGTACCTGAAGCGAGGCAAAAATGTCGTTCGACAGATCCGAGTGTAAGGCATCGTTTTTCGGATTTATCGGTATGAAGCTGTTGTTCGGACTGTAAGCTATGGTTCTCAACAATTGTTGTTCCTCTTTTTCGGAATTTTGCAGCTTTATAGAGTCGTCGCTCTCCAAGATCTTGGCAGGCCTTGAATTATTCTTCATCGTTAAAGCGGATTCGACTTTATCGTTGACTTTGTTGTCCACGGTCATTGACGTAGTCGTATTGGTATCCAAGTTTAAAAAGATTTTATTAGTATTGTCAGATGTAACTTGATCGATCGCAGCGTCATTTTGTAATTCTGAATGAATTATGTTATCGTGAGATTTGCTGTCAAGATTACTGCTACTCTCCTTTTCTTTATCTTGAGCGATTTCATGATCTTTTTTCGATTCCGTTCTTGGTAACTGAGGTGGTATACTTTTCATCTCTGAATCAACTCTTTCCAGCTGATATTTGCATGGATCATCAGCTTTTTGAGTTTGCTCAGATTCAATATTGTTGATCAAATTATTATTTTGATTATTTTCCGAAAATGGAGTTTTTTGTTGTTCCTTAAAATCAGCTATTTCACTGGTCACATTTGCTAATGAAGACTCAATATTTTTCAAATCAGACATTTCTTTTGTTCGGTCTTTATTAACAACATTCATATCTTCTTTACTTAAATTATCATTGGGTCGTTGTCCTGCATTACTTTTTAATGATGAGGAGCAAATATTATTTTCTGATGTTGCATTTGATTTCAAAGTTGATTCACAAATGTTCTCTGAGGAATTATTATCTACGGGCCTAATTGTTTTTTCAATATTTTTTATGGGTTGCCTAATGCTTTCTACTGTATTTGATTTATCACATACATTTTCAGTTTCATTTTGCATTAATTTTGCCTCTTTGGCAACCCTTTCTGAACCATTTAAGTGAGGATTGTCTAAAGATTTATTTGCAATGCAAGGTCCGAGGTCTGATGACATTTTCCTTTTTTTCTTATTCATCCGACTTTTCACCAGAGCTACCATAAGGCTATTGGATTTATCTGACTCTTGTAATAATTTATCATCTTCTTTGCGTTCATTAGTAGGCGTATCTACTTTTTCAACTTTATCATCAATTTTGTTAGATTTTAAAGGAGGTATTGGTACTTTGAATTTCATTGATGATTTAGTTGCTTCTTTAATACTTTTTGGCAAGATAGCTTTGTTACCACCAATTTTACTTGAGCATGCTATGGTTTTTATATTCTTCACCCAATTTTGTGAATTGACTATCATATTAGCTTGAATTTGAGGTACTGAATTTAAAGTCATTGTTTGAACACCACTAACAGTTGGTAAGCCATTTGACTGCAGTGGTTGAACAACAATCATCTGACTTTGTTGTTGGTTGTTTAAGAAAAATGAATTTGATGAATGAGATACAATCATGTTTGATGTTATTTGTTGAGCAGGTGTTACAACTGGCATGATTTTACTTGCTGGTATAACTAATGTATTTCCTGGAAAATGCTTAAGATCCACTATATTTTTGATAAGATTTTTCTTGATTGGTTTCTTGATTTTTCGTTTAACCTTCTTATAATTTTCTGTAAAATTTATTTAAATTAGATTTTTAGAATAATCAAAAGAAATTAATTATAAATAAAATTCATGTGTGTACTTACTTATTAATTTTTTTTGTGAAGAAGTTTCTCCTGAACTATTTGGAGTTGATTCTTCCACTGGTATAGGTAACTTATCACTAGTATCACATTTGTTGCTGCATTGACTATTTACATGGTTTTCTCGATTTTCTATACTACATTTATGATTTTCAAAATGGGTTTTGCTTGGGGCATCTGGATCTTTTTCTTTTGCTTCTTCTTTCTGTAACTTGTCCTTGCAAGGAGTCTTCTCTTTTTTCTTTTTTCCATTTTGTTCTACATAAAATAATATAAATGAATTATATTTTTGAGAAATTTTAAAAAATTTACAGCTGGAATTTTACCTGTGTCAAGGTTGTCTACAAATTCAAATTCAGAAACCACATTGATTTTATTTGATCTTTTAAGAGGTAAAATCTTATCTAGAGCTGGTTCTACAGGCACAGAGATTCCAGCTTCTTTCAGCAAGTTGGATAAAAGCTCTATTCTTAAAACCAATTTGTCAATGAGTTTCTTTAAATACACCAATTCATCTTCTGAAAATAAAAAGCAAATAATTAGGATCTTAGTTGGAAAACTTTGTAAAATACTGTTTTTGATTAAGAAAATGCATACTTGGAACACCTGAAGCTTTATCAGTAATTGATACTTCATCGTGTTTTACCAAATCCTCAATAAACTTGGCTGCATGATCAAGTATTTCAATTTTATTTCTCTTGCGACCATCTAAATTGGGAGGTAAAAGATTGGATAGTGCGTTGAAGTATCCATTCATACGATCTCTCCTGTCTTTTTCCCATGTTCTTGACTTTCTGCAATTATATAAAAGGATCAAAATCAAAATGTCACTTTATTCATTATACAAGAACACCATCAATACTCACAGAATCTCCTTTCGAGGCATAATAAGTTAACCAGTGTCAGTATATGTCATTCTGCTGCTCGTTCGGAACTCACATTATTTCTCAACACATGATATTATAACCACCGTGACTTAAATCAAAAAAATTTTATTATTGCACTCTCAACTTTTTGCACATGTAACCAATCACCAATCTAAACGATCACTGATTCAGAGCCGCACAAGAGGGTTGTTGGGAAAACAATCGATGGAGTCAGCTTCGAAAAAAAAGTGCTTGGGGAAATACGCACGTTAAAGACACGCGTAAACAAAGCGAACGTCTAAATTTCAGCTTATCGAGAACTGACAATGCTCGCAGCACGTATATATTCTCTTAGGATACACACATAGTACTGTATATCGTGTATAGTAAGAAACCATCTGACGATCTTGATCAACTGTCAGATAATGAGATGAACGTCAGAAAGTCGGAGCTCGCAGCGTAGGAGGGGGTGGAGGGGTGAATTAATGTATCTGACAAGCAGATAAATAGATAATTCTACGTGCAGCTTTTCATCTAATTACCTAACCTGATTCGTCAGCTCGCAGTCAGACCCACACCGCGGCACAGTGCACATATAGGCAGCAGATATAGGTACCTCGAGTCGAGAGTGTATACATACATTTAGTAATTATAGTATATAACCAGAGATGCGTTGACGGATAACGCACATATACCAGTAAGAGACTGTCAAAATACGACGTTGCATTCATTAAGCGCTTGGACATAGCAGAGTCGCGTGCGACAACGACGACTGACGTGTATAGTATAGTGTGTCGCACGAATCCGAATCAAGTATATCAATTTCGTAAATCGACTCATCTGATTGTGTCATTGTATATTACTGGCTGGACGAGTTTTCTATAAAAAAAACGCATTGCGCGAATATCTCGTCATATCGTTATGTATTATATGGCTCGTTCATTAATCAGATGCTAATTACGAGCTTGTAGTAAGGCGATTCTCGTGGAATTCTTCGTCATCGCGTGTAATACACCTGTGCTAAGAAAAATGCATCGACGCCTTTAAATGCATACATTACAGAGATATAGAACTGGACTATAGCAATCGGTGCGCAATAAACTGCATGTTAAATGCGCGTATAATAATGCTGCAGCTATACGATGCTAAAATGTTTATTCAGCCGTGGCAGTAGTACGACTTGAAACGTGCTGGTACGTCGACGAGTTCTGCAATATCCCATCGCGATTGACACACTGCTAACTGCTACTAGTCGGAGGCGCCTACTTATATATAGCTTTCTCGTGTATTAATGCCGCGAGGAGGACTGCGGGCGAACTTTTCTTCTCATTGTACATTCATATATATCCTCTCGGGGCCGTGAGAGAGCTGAGATCGGCCGTATAGTGCACTTTTCGGCGCTGCGAATTATAACAACACACGCAGCACAGTTATAATGCTGTCCATTGTGTGACGTGTGGGAGATTATATTATATGACAATTATTATATTCGCGGGTATCTGGCCGTCTGTCTCTCTCGCCTCGCTATCGATGAGGGTAACAAGTGGGTGGAGCTTTTGAAACGACGACGACGACGAGGCATCGCGCGGAAAGGCTAGTGTCGTGTCTCTCTCGCTCGCCTGCCTTTTGCTAATAATTCGCAATAATTTCTTGCGATATATAGTGCCTCGCATGAGTGCTGTATACTATAACGTACCCAGTAGAAGTTGGTAGTTTTATCCCGTGTCTCGCGTGTTCTTTGTGCGTGTGTGTATGTGTGTCGTGCAAAAACTATTAAAAAAGTGCGTAAAATAATCGCGGAGATTTTTTTTTTTTTGCTGCTCGCCTCTACTCGCTCGTCGCCTTATCGCTGGCCTGCTGCGGTGCGTGTGTGATATTATGTCGTAAATGGCTCGAATGGTCGACGATATTGTTGCCCCAATGCCATTTAATTGCCGTGTTTTCCATTCGCTCGATACGTCAATCTTTGAGGTTAGTTCACAAATATTCATAGTACACACGGATATTTTTGTATGCCTGAAAACTGGCTATTTTTGACAATGAGCTTTTTAGTTTTAATGTATGCATGTATTGCGTTTAAGCACCGATGACCGATGTATGTATAATGAAGGTACCTTTCCGAGTACATACACACACGTATACATATATCGATTGTTTACGCGTTCGCTTAACGAGCGTAAACATTGAGTGCAGTTGTAATACCTGGATTAATTTACTTTATCAGATGATTTCAATGTTGTTTTTTTACTTTCCTTCAAAGATCACATTGAATTTGCAACAAAAGCCTGACACTTCAATAAATCATCATCACCATGACTGACGATTTGGAATTGGCTCAAAATATCAACGAAGTGCATGATTTCAATGACATTGGAGCTGACGATGACGAAGGCTCTGATGGAGTAATTGTACCTGAACTTCAAGGAATCCTATTCAAGTGGACCAATTATATACATGGGTGGCAGAGTAGATATATTGTACTGAAAGATGGCACTCTGTCTTATTACAAATCTGAGCACGATAGTGGATACGGTTGTAGAGGATCGATTAGTCTCAACAAAGCTCACATCAAAGTACGCTAAATCATTTCATCTTGAATTACCAAAACAAAAAAAGAATAGCCAAGTGAATTGTTAATTACTTCTTGCAGGCACATGAGTTTGATGAAAACAGATTTGACGTATGTGTAGATGATACCCTAGTGTGGTATCTTAGAGCTAATCATCCAGAGGAGAGGCAGCGATGGGTGGATGTTCTAAAATCATACAAGGTAATTTTTGAACTTTTTCTCAATATCTCAATGTTACCATCTGTACATTGCCTTATCTCATTCCATCAATTTTTAACAACAACAATTAGCAGGTTGAATCAGGCTACGGTAGTGAAAATAGCTTGAAGCGTCATGGAAGTGCCATATCTCTTGTATCGAACACTCAATCGACAGCCAGCGCTGGCAGCTTCAGCAAACGAGGCATCAGAGGTCTCAAGGAGAAACTGGCGGAAATCGAGACGTTCAAAGACATATTGATGCAGCAGGTCGACACCTTGCAGAAGTACTTCGACAATTGCGCGGAGAATGGCAGAATCGCGCAGGACAGCTACAACAAATTAGCGGACGACAAGACCGACGGCATCGACCCGGCCGAGCAAGCGATCGACTTCAAAGGCGAAGCTATCACGTTCAAGGCCACCAGCGAGGGTGTGATAGCGACGCTTCAGCACTGCGTCGACTTAATGGTACAGCGCGAAGAGGCGTGGCGAAAACGTTGGGACAAAGAAATGGAAAAAAGGAAAAGACTGCAGGAAATTTGTCGGTCTTTGAAGGATCAAGTGGCGGCGAGCAGCGTCAATTCCGGAAGACCCAGAGTTTTCATTCACGGCGGACCCGATTACGAGGTATAATATACAATCGAGCAAAATTGAACCGATTACACTCGTAATAAAATTTTAAAAGTACCGCGCGGTAATCCCTCTGTATCAAACTGACGCACGGATTACCGCCGTAAATCAATGTTGAAACAATTCTGTCATGTCACTGTGCCGTGAATTTTAATGAGGAGACAGTCTAATGATGCTTTACTTGTAAACTTTCACAATGGCAAGTGTGGTATTGTACACTTTGTGTACTGATCAGTCAGTGAGTTTCATTCGCAAAGCAAAGAAACCTCAAGTTCTCGCTTAAAGCCTAGCCTCAAAAGATGCTTTTTCTCGAGCCACTGAAAAATGTCTTGAAAGTAAGTGATAATGTAGACTTATCTGAACTGAGCTTAGTGTTCTGCACAATCGTATTACCGTTACTGATAACAAACGACTGAGCTATAACCTCATTAGAAATGGAAAAAAATATGTACTTTCGATAATGACATTTCCGATCGCGTGAATTGAAACATACAAGTTTCGTCGTGAATTTAATTCGGTGTTGTTGTTCTCGCAGGAAGGACCGCATAGCGCATTGCCAGAGGAGGAATTCTATGATGCCATGGAAACGGGCCTAGATAAAATCGAAGAAGACAATCAAATCAAAGATCGACTTAAACAAAAGTTGGTCGCTATTCCAGCTACACCTACGACTCCAGCTGCTAAACACAGACTTTGGCCAGAGGTAAATACCACTGTAGCAGTAACAATAACAAACCACATTGTTAAATCATTGCTCGTAACCGGCTTCATAACTATTTTCAATTATGTAAATTGCATTACTCGTTGTCGAAGGCTGCGACACGCGTTTTATTGCTTTTTCCATGAGGAATACAACAATGGACAAAAAAACTGACGCGCAAGAACACGTAAGCGACGCAGAGTTTCTGTTTAAGTAAACACGAGTCACAGCCGTTCACTGTTCGAAAATATGATTAATGTCTCCGCCGACGCAAAGTAGAGCAGTCTTTTTTACCGTTAACGTATATACTTTATCTCGCATTTTTTCTTCCTCTTTGTGTATTTTTAATTGTATAATCATAACAAATTGACAACGAACGATTCGATTCGCAGATCGACAGGATAACTCAGGAACAGCTGCACTATGCCAGATTGGGTGTGGGGGCCGGTGGCTGGCAATTGTTCGCCGAGGACGGGGACATGCGAATGTACAGAAGGGAGGAGGAGGCCGACGGTTTGGTGGTCGACCCGCTGAAGGCCTGTCACGTCGTCAAAGGCGTCACCGGCCAGGAAGTTTGTAAAATATTTTTCAGCCCCGAGTACCGGGCCGGCTGGGAGGCCACCCTCGAGGACATGACCGTAATCGAGCACATCTCCAAGGACACTCTGGTCTTTCTGCAGACCCACAAGAGGATATGGCCGGCGAGTCAGAGGGACGCGCTGTTCTGGTCTCACATGCGACAGGTGCCGGACGATCAGGACTCCGACGCGCAGGACTTGTGGATCGTCTGCAATCACAGCACGGAACACGAGGAATATCCCGTAAGTTTTTTTTTTAGCGAAACTCGTCTTCGAAACTGCTCAACATTTGCAAAGTAATAATCTTTAACAATCTCAATTTACTTTCAGCCAAATACAAGTAAATGCGTCAGGGTATACTTGACAGTTTGCCTCGTTTGTCAAACGTTTATTGATCCACCACGAGAAAATGAAGAAATCAAGCGGGAAGATATTACTTGTAAAATAACGTATTGTTCAGTTGGTGAGTACGGATGATAATGAAACATTCTCGTGCGTCTTTGTGTTCACATTGTTCATTTCATCATTTATACTTCCAGTTAATCCTGGTGGATGGGCGCCCGCATCGGTTCTTCGAGCCGTCTACAAAAGAGAATATCCCAAGTTTCTGAAACGGTTCACAAATTTTTGTATCGACCAATGCAAGGATAAGCCAATCGAGTTTTAAGGATGGTCACTTTTCACAAATGTACTTTGATCCTTACGCGTAATGACAAATATGTGTAACATTTACATTCGCGAATGCCTATATATGTTGCAAATAAGCTAACTTATTTACGCGCACGTTGTATTTTGTATTTTCAAATATTACTTTACCGGTTTGTTACAATATTATTGACATATTATATAAAATTGAAGGTGAAGAAAAGTTTTATTGTAAAATTTAAAAGTACGCTGATTAACGTTTAATATTAAAAATTGATGATAACGATACAATAATTATGAACGTTTTAATGGCAAAGTTGGCCATTTTTGTACATACATACATAACAAGCAGACAAACAGTTTTCCCTGTCATTTGACCGCTGCAAGTCTCTTAAAGTAAAATGTTAAATGTGCTTGCGCGATTGTACAAATTTTCTGATTGAAAACATAATGCACTATGTGTATCTATCGTTACACTTTGCCATACACGTTAAACTGTATTATAATAACATGTCTGTGACATTTCACTTCAAGTCCCTTATACTCATTCGAGAATGTATGGAAAATATTCTTCTTGTTGATATCTACAAACTTCAAAGTGTATTTTTTTCAAAAAAGTCAGCACTAGTAAAAATTTATTTACTTCTTGTTTTTTTGTTTTGCATTATTAATACATACCTGTATGAAAATTTGATACAAATAATACTTGCTTATATGAGTGTTTTTCTAAACTCAATTAGATTTTTATATCAACTTGTATGAGTGAATATTATAAATTATATTTTTAACTCATTTTAATGATTTTACAGAAAGAAACTAATTACTCGTAGATGTTATCAAATATATTTTTCATATGAAATATAATTTGTAATATTAATGATTTTTGAGATGTTTTCTTTATGCCCTTTATGTCAAATTCTATTCTATGTATTAAAAATTAAATTGTTATTTTTATCTATATGCATAGATTCATAAAAACTATGTATATGGGTGTGATGGATAGATTGAACAAGAACTTTAATAAAGACTGTCAGCGTATTGCTTACTTTTATATAGTAGAAATTACATCATAAAATATATTATTTACACGTTTACACGATGAACTTAATGATCCAAGCATGAACATAAATCAATAGATGTAGTAGGCTCAAATATATATTATATATACTGGTGAGCTACTACTGCCTCTTTTGACGTATGAATTTTATCAGTACTATGTTCATGTCTCAACATCTCTGAACTCTATGAATCTTACATGATACATTAAATCTTATTAAATAGATCCAGCTCCACTTTTTGATTGCTGAGCAATCTTTTCTTTAAATTTAGCAATTGTTTCTTTTGCAAGTGTGAGTTTTTCTTTATATTCTGTAACTTCTTTTCTGATTTTTTCTTTAGCATCCATAATAGCTTTTAATGATTTCTCTTTCTTCTCTTCAACTATAAATTCATGATAATGATATTAGTTTTACAAAAAGAAGATTTACAAAAAAATATTTATATTGTTGATGTTTACTTACAATTAGTCTCATGTTTACCAATTCCAGGTCCAAAAACTTTTGTTGCGTTCAGCAAATGAACCATTAAAGCTGTTGGATCATGGAATATTATTTCATCATAGAATTCAGATACTAAATGATGTTTTGTCACTCTAACGTCTGTGGTAGTGTGATGAAACAGTTTTAAAATATGATACATAGTTACCTGAAAAATATATAAAACATTGCCAATACTGTACAACTTCAAAAGTTGAGACTTTAAGAAATAAACTTACGTGTCTTTCGTTGGGGTCATGGAAGTAAATTTTAATAGCTATTTCAAATTCTCCCCAACCAGTTTCAGTCAATTCAAACGGAGCTTTCGTAACTATTCTATTTGGATTATTATAACTCTCGTGCAATTTGAAATGTACTTTTTTAACATAGCCTGACATATCTTCATTGAGGTATGGTTTAACGTATACTGTCCACTGATGAGTGTGGCCATCTTCCTCTCGTTTTTTACCGAAAAATCGGGCTACATTACCAAATACAATCGGCTTGACAATAGTAACTCCCTGTTGAGTTGAATTTAAAATCATTATTTTCATAATAATTATCACTTGAGTTGATAATTTGTTTACAAAAGCGATGACAATTCATCTACTCTTACCTTGGTTCGACCTCCCGAATCCGGACCAAACTCGTTCGATAAAGAAGCCATTGACAGTTTTTGAATAATGATTGAAACGAAAAAAGTTTACACCGGAGTGTAAACTAAACTCAGGAGGCAAAAAAAACTTATACCGGCGGGTGCGCGTACTTTGTTTGTGTTTTGAAACACACGGTTGAGGTTACGCTTCTTTTTTGGCGTACAGTAGTAAATAGTAACTTGACGGTCAAACGCAGATGCACCGAGAAGTTCAGTACGGAGTAATGCGGTCCAACGTTTAATGCTTACTTTTTTTCGTTTGACGTAAAAAATGCTTGACACACAAGCTTTGATGCAAGTCTACAATTGCTGAAAAATAACGAAAATATGTGGGGATAACCTCGTAGGCTCGTGAGTCGTGGTATATTTAGCGCGCGCCGGTACGTGTCTACAATGTCAATACTGGATCGAGACTGTGAACTCCGAACTCAGCTGGCTGTCTGCTACAATTACTGTGCTGTAAATACAACAGACAGTAGACACCCATCTCTCTGCTGTGCGATTGTTTAAAACTCGACAGTCGATTCCAGAACGTCGAACGTATCGACAAGTGCTTTTATTTGTAAACAAAGTCTCGTGCAAGATGGGCAAGACATCGAAAGACAAACGAGATATCTATTATCGACGTGCCAAAGAAGAGGGCTGGAGAGCGAGAAGTGCCTTCAAACTATTACAAATTGACCAGGAATTCAGTATTTTCAATGGTATGCATTTAACGTGCGTTTTAATGAGCACATAATGCGGCAGTAAAAATGTTTTATTCGCAAAATGTTCTGAAATTTCAGGTGTTACCAAGGCTGTGGACTTGTGCGCCGCCCCTGGGAGCTGGAGCCAAGTCTTGTCTAGGAGGCTAAAGTATACTTTTTATTTACTTGATTTTATGTTCAATCTTTGAGTAATTGAATTTAAACACCTGCAATAACTTTCAGTGAAAATTATGAAAATTTGAAACAGAAATCAGAGAAAGCCCCTAAAATTATAGCTGTCGATCTTCAAGCGATGGCACCCATAGAAGGAGTTGTTCAGATACAAGGCGACATAACTAATATTAAGACTGCGGAACAAATAATAGCTCATTTTGGAAATGAACATGCTGATCTGGTGGTGTGCGATGGGGCTCCTGATGGTAATTCAAATTTTTAAAAAGTAGATAAATTTAATTGAATGATGATTCATTAACGAGGATTTTTTTACTTCTACAGTGACTGGTCTACATGACATGGATATATTTATTCAATCTCAGTTATTACTAGCAGCTTTAAAAATAACAACTCAAATATTGAAGCCAAAAGGCACATTTATAGCTAAGATATTCAGAGCCAAAGATGCATCGCTTCTGTATTCCCAATTAAAAATCTTCTTTGGTTCAGTAAGTTGTGCTAAGCCTCGCAGCTCACGTAACTCGAGTTTTGAAGCTTTTGTGGTATGCAAAGATTTTCAAATGCCTGAAGGATTTAATCCTGCCACTTTGGATCTGTCTACTGATATCAACAAACTAGTTGGGATTGATAGATACATCGCTCCATTTGTTATTTGTGGAGATCTTACTCAACCAGACTCGGATACAACTTATCCTCTAGATGTAAGTTTCATTCTTACTTTTTGTTTGCAATCCAAATATATATATTGCATAATTTAAATTTGAAATTTGCTGCTAGTTCGAAGGTAAAGAGTTCAGATACTGTCAGCCAACTCAGAGTCCTATAAATCCACCTTATCAGGAAGCTATGCACATGATGAGCCAGGTAAACATTGGCAAATTTCCAGAGAGTACGAGCGTTACTTTGACAGGCAAAAACATGTCTCTCGCGGAATTCAAAGCTACCAAAGCAAAAAAACAAGATTCAAACGATTCGCAAAAATAAATGTAAATATAGAGATAGACTCTTGATTGTTGTAAATTTTTTTTTTGAAAAATTATTGTTCATTAATTGTGATATTTTGTAATTATTGTCTAGCAAAGTTTTGATAGTGCCAAAGGTTAACGATCGAAATGAATCTGCACTTACTGTAATAATATATTTAAGTAATAATACTTTGAGAGACAATTTTAAAGAGTCTTTTTTAACATTTCCCGATCGACACTCAGAATATCTTATTTACAATCGAGTATCGGAAAGGATATATATTCAAAGGAGCAAAGTTGCTCCAAAGAGTAGATCGCTATCTATATTGCACGCACGAATATATGTATATGCAAACGCGCATACGAAGTTTGCTTTAAGCAGCAAAGCTTCGAAGTATTAGCGATTCGGAGCGAGCGCAAGACGACGTGAAGCGAGCGAGAGAAGTTCGGAGCGAAGTTGGGACGAAAACGTGCCTGCGTGGACCTCATGTCAGATTAATTCAACTGCGATGCCGAAGGAAAGTTCATACGATGTACATGACCGCAAAAGCGATATATATAGAGACGACGAGTGTCGCCAATACATATGTGAGGATCGGCACGTATAATATTGCCAAGAGATCGCGAGGACTCTTGCCAAAAAATTTTCCGGCCGATTGAACGACTCGAGAGTTAATTTTTTTTTTGTAGTAATCGGGTGAATGGCCATATTACGAACACTTAATAAAACATCTTTCTTTGCTTACTTATACAGAACTTATACGTAACATTAAAAAATGTATATAAAGAACCCGTCTGATAATAAAAAGGACATTTTTCGAATAAAAAGTGATGTAGCTGAGAGTTGCGGGGTCCCCCTCCACGAAAATCCTAGTGAGCCCCCCCCCTTCCCCTAAAGTAAATTTTACCCATTCTTATTATTTCCAGTGAAGGAAACATCTTTTATCGTTAAATACCGGATAAGATATGCAATTGAATTCATAATTAATATATCATTAAATTTGACACGTTAAGTATAATGATAAGTATTCAAAATTTCACAATTTTTATTCTAGTAACCCCAGCAACTTTAATGCAATTGAAAGCATATAGTAGCTGGAATAATTAAACCTCCCAACAAAGTTGATGAGCCACCCCCTGCAGTTCATGAAATAAGTAGAGATTTAAGTTGGGATTATTAAAACACATAGTGGATTACACCTAGTGGGCATCTGTGATTTTGTAAATGAAAGTTTTGGCTTATAAATAAATAATTTGTTCAATGAGGTGTAGGAATATTTAAAACTAATTATGTATAAAAAACTTAAAGTTCTTAATGTAATAAGGCATCTGTTTTGAATTACTTGATTAATTTAGGTAGCATTTTTTCCGCGATTGCTGGAATTTTTTCCGCGGGGTTCCCTTTGATGACCCTCAGCTATGCCACTGCGAATAAATACTTATATTTCATAAAAAAAAGCCAATAGCTACACTTGAAAATTATTATTGGTATATCATAAGTATTTCCATTTATTTAAATAATATCTCTATGTGGCCGGTAATTGGAAAATTTACCCTGATTAAATATGCACGAATCATCTTTATTCCGAAGTTTATCGCATTAATTATAAATGACTCTTTTTAACGTAACTTGTGCATTGCTTCGGTATCGACACTATTGAATTGGTCTTTCGGAGCGAACCGATCATTTTTATAGAGTCGCTCGTGTGTATTATACGATGAAAGTGGGGAGACCCCTCGTCATGCTTGTAAAAGCGAAGAGAAAAAAATCTGGCACGCGTATAGAGAGGGGGGATCATCGTCGTTCGTCGCGTTTTTTGATGATGGGACGATACATAATACGTATGGGCGGTTACCAATGCTGCTCATACCACGAGATCTCTTAAAATGCCTCCACTCTCACCACACTTGTTCAAAATGGAGATCGCTGTAATATGGATGATGTGTACGTCGCGCATTAAGAAAGGGGAGCTCCGAATGAATGTCTACAGGCACGGGGCCGCTAATGATGAACATTTTTATTTTAAACTTTTTCATAGATTTAAGCGTTGACGTAAGGTATTTATTTAAATTGAAAAATAAATAATTACGTCGAGTTAATTCGATTTACTCGACCGTCATAACGATACACTATTTATAGCTCCGTCCAACCAGTCAATAATTTTATTCTATTGATTTTTATCAAAATAACATATTGCATGACTCGCTGAAAATTTAAAGAAAATCTATTTCCAAGAAAAGACGAATGAAAAGTTTCTCAGCTCTCCAGAGTCTTAAAATCACGCGAGCTATTTCAACTGTCCAAAAGTTTCCTCACCGATCCAAGGTACATCCAAGGTACAAAGCTTTCAGGAATATCACCGCGTAACGGATGCGGTGCAATAGAAAAACTCGCGATCTGAAATATGAGTAGTCTACTATTGTCTACTATATTATTTTCTACTTTACTATGTTATATTATACAGGTATAGGCTACTGTTGATCCTTTTTAAACTACTTTTTAAACACGTGCACGATCGCGATTTAAAAATGACTCCGAAAAAAAGGAAATTCGATACGCTTGGAATTATCAGAAATCTGCCATCCGCTCCGAACGCGGTAGATATTCAATTATTTCCATTCCACGTCGAGGATAAGCTTCTATAATAAATTAAATGAAAAATTCCGTGTCTGCGGCCTTCGAGTGACACGTATAATGCGCTCGCACCGAATTCGGAACAGTAAAAGCGAGGCAGACAGACAGCTCTCTCCGCCCGCGATAACGCGTTTAACATTATGTCGGAGTGAGCAACTGTGCACGCGCGTCAACACGATGCTAAATTTTGCCCTAGCCCCCCAGTACAGACACTCGGTCGCCACGACGATAGCTCGCTATATAGATATAAGCGCGAGCAATATAACTTATGTGGGCTAGTAAGATATCGGGCGAATTTTCAGCGCTTGCGCGCGAATATCCAACTGCATGCAGCAGCATAGCGTCGGGTCGGATGTGTATACACTTAATAAAGAGTTGCAGTCTCACGTGCTCGATGTAAGGCGTCGCGCTGCAGACCTTACGGATATAACGTTTCGACGACGAGTCTCGCCTTCGTTATTATTTATTACTGTTGTTGTTGGATTTTTGTTGAAAGATAATTAAACATGAGCGAAACCGAAGCTCGACCGAGTTTGGACGTCGCTCGGTATGTATACAAGCGCATTTTTATTATTGTCCATAGACAGAAATCAGGCTATACGCGTTGATTAATCTTTCATCGAATTCGACGTTTCTCGCATTGCTTATATAGTTATATGATATATTGATAAATTATATATTCTACAGTCAGTATGGTGTGAAAAAAATTGAGATTCACCTCGACAATTCAAAAGGCGTTTATATGCGACGCGTATCAGGAAGAGTGGATATTCAGCTTTCATCGCCAGTTAATGCCAAAGGTACACTCGCAACATGATACAAATATTACACTTTATTTTTCTCGCTACATATCGTTTCGCGTTAAAGTCATTTCCGAAGAGCGATAGACTCCTATTTCGTAGTTATTAATTTGCCGCGTTCTGATGCGTTAATTAACATCTCTCGCGAGGTAATATAACGCTTCGGGTCTCTCCTCGGGAAAAACCCGAAATACCGTTTGAGCGATGGTAGATGCACTGCCAGCCCATCGAGTCATATAGCCTAGGCGCGGAGGGGGTCTCGTATATGCATTCCCACAAGGTCCCACAAAAAACGAAGTGTATTTCTACGTATTTACGACCCACTAAATCCGAATTTTCAACTCGAGATGGTCGGGTAATTTGTTATATAAAAATTAATTGTTTATTTGGCTATTAAATTTTTACCAAAACAATTTGTTTTCATTTTATTGTACACAAAAAGGCAAAAATGTCCTTTTTTTATTCGTCTTGATACGACCAATGGAACTGAAGATATCGTTAAAATAGTAAAAAATGACGATATTGTATAAGGTCAATGCGTAGAGCTCAGACTGCCGCGTTCGTATATCGTTCATTTACCACAATTTTTCTCTAATATCTTCGATTCTATTGGTCGTATCAAGACGAATAAAAAAAGAAAAATTTCGTCTTTTTCAGTACAATAAAATGAAAGAAATTGTTTTGGTAAAAATTCAATAGCTTGGGAGTTATAGCCGTATAAACAATTAATTTGTTTATAACAAAATTACTCGACCATCTGAGCAAGGTGAGAGTTGAAAATTCGGATATAGCAGGTCAAAATAGGTAAAAAACCTTTTGTTTTTTCGTGGGACCTGCCAATGCATACGAAACCCCCTCAGCGCCTAGACTAATACAAACAGATGTTTTCGAAGTAGTATAGCTGCCGCTGCTCCAAAAAAAAAACAAGCGAATTTCGACTTTAAACGAGCGTATAAAACGACCGATCGATCAGGAAATATACTACATACGTACGTACTGCAGGGGCCAAATATCGCACGCGACGCCCGACCCCGTCGTTATATAGCAGTAGTTATCCGACTCGCGCGCGAATAAACTCAATTTATAGCCTCGCAGCATACACATTCCAAAAGCACTTGGCACTTTTGTACATAGGTATACGCGTCACGTGTAAGGGTGAGGCCAAGGTTCAATTTAGCGATCGTAGCATGGGCATAAGAACGCAATACTCCAAGGATGAGCAGTTCGTGAATCTGACTCCGTACATATATGGCACGGGGCATGATCAAATCGAAGTAACCAGCGGACACTACGACTTTTCGTTGGAATTGCCGGACAGGATTCCCTGCAGTTTCGAAGGATTGTACGGGCGAGTTCGATATACGCTGCAAGCGACTCTGCAACTGCTGGATAATGGATGTGCTGTTTGTAGCGATGTCAAGCCTTTTACTTTGGCATCGGTTTATGATCTGAATAGCGAGCCGAAGGCAGCGGTAATTGTTTCATGAATTAACTGCACTTATTTTTAGACAGCTTCTCGATCGAAGTTCTTTAAATTATGTTATATAGGAGCCGATCGAAGAAGACCATTCAAAAACATTCGTCGGTCAAAAAGAGCCGCTCAAAATGTCGTTGCATTTGCCTGTACGCGGCTTTGTGCCGGGGCAAACAGTACCGCTGTTGATCAATTTCAAAAACGAATCCAATGTACGAATGAGCAAGATTCGCATTGTTATGAAAAAGGTATGAGATATAAGTCGCTATGCTTGAAAAAAAATTCCCTCGACTTTTGTGAAATTTTTTAATAACTCGTGCATTATGTCTGAAAAACGTGACTACAATTGTTTAAATGAATGGCAACTTCGCAATTTTCCGTTTTTAATATATTTATTTTTGTAACGCATCGACGCCCGGTAACATAAATTTCCGCATAACAAAGCACAAGAGTGCACCAAATAAAGCCCATGTTTGGTGCAAACATTGACATTGATTTTTTTTTACGCGGGTTTTTAAATAATTCGAAAGTTATTAACTTTAGAAAAAAATGTCAAAAGACCTCTTGTATTTAGAATAACTCAATTAACTGGAAGTGAGTGTTGTCAAATCGAAAAACATAAGTATTGATCCAATTGTTTGAAAAAGATCGTTTAAATAATTTTAGGCACATTTTTTGTCCCCATTCGCCGTAATTCGAATGTTGTAAGTTTTTTTTTTAAACCGATTAACGATTGAGATTGAAACTTTTTTTGAGCAATGCAAAGCTATGAACAACTTGTGCGATCCGCATAAGTCACGAGCGCTCGAAACAAACTAATTTGCAAACGTTGGTAAATAAAGCAAGGATATTTTTTGATTTATAATAAAATAGGGAAATTTTAACAATTCAGGTTTGAAACGATTGTTTCTAAGTAATTTGAGCAATTTTAAAGACGAAATTACTCTTGGCAAATTTATCTAAAATGCATATTTTTCGAGTTAAAAGCAATTCAAAGTAAAAAAAGCGCTAATTTTTCAATTTTCAATCGCTTATAACAACATGAAAAAAGAAAATATTTTCCATGTTGCCAACGCTTTTGCAAAAACTGCTTTATATTGTTCCTCCGTACAGAAAATGGATAGAGGATAGGATGCGACCTCTTACCTTGCTTCAACTTTCGCTGAAAATTAATCTGTGAACTTCTCTATCAAGTCATGAGAGCAATTGACGACGAGCCTATCTCGGTGTACGCGCATTGCACACGAAATCGCGTAAAAATAAATTGCTGGGAAAATCGGAAACATTGTTTTTCCATGTTGTTATACGCGATTGAGAATTAGCTTTTTGTTTACTTTGAATCGCTCTTATCTCGGAAAATTACCAAGAATAATTTTCTCTTTCGAATTGCCCAAATTACTTAGAAAATTTAGTTTCAAGCTTGAATTTTTAAAATTTCCCTCTTTGTTTCAAAAATCGATTAAAACAACTACATTAGTTTCTACATTTTGAGTGTCCTTACAGAGGGAATAAAGTAAAAATTATCCATTACTTTATTTTTTCGACCGCGTTCATGTTTCAAGCAGTGCGAGGCTACACATGTGCCCCGTAACACGTGTAACGCGCGCGATCTAAACAAATGAATTAAGAGACTGTATTCGATCGTCCATTGCACAGGTCGTAACTTATCGAGCTCACGAGCGCTCCCGGACGCACAAAGAAATCATCGTCGAAATTGAATTGCCCGTCTCAGATCGCGAAGAACAAATCAAGGAATTTTTCGACATCCCAGCTATTCCGCCCAGTAGAATGGAATATTGTTCCATCATTGATTTGCGCTACAGTCTGAAGGTCGAGTCATGCGTGGATCTCACCGAATGGTACTATCGAATGCTGCAGAAAAATCTGAAAATACGAGCGGAGATATTTGTCGGCACCGTGCCACTGAAGGACTACGAGCAAGCTATTCCGTACGAAGACGAATCACCGATGGGCAGTCGAAAGCCAAGCAGCGCGGGTAATTATTATCTTACTTTTCGGCATGTACAATAATTCGAGTCATCTGACGCTTCTTTTTCCTTCCCACTTTTACAGATCTCAGAGGACAAAATTTCGAAGCGAGTCACATCTACAAATCTTCGAAACCGGGCCGAGACGATCCGGCGGCCAGCAATGCTTTGCCCGACGATTTTAACTGCGCGCCGTATAATCCCATGTATCGAGTCTATCGATTCGAAAAATCGTCCGATCGTTGAGTGTAAATTTTGTATGTTATATATTATTGCTATATCGTTGTATTTTTGTATTAATATGAGTCATATGTCAGTGTAATATATATAGGCTTCATATAATAAATTAACGACGACAATTTTTTTGATTATTGGTTTAGCTCTGTGAGAAAATGTCTTTATTTAAAAATATGTAAATACTTTTTTCCATTAAAACAGATACATTACTACGTATATTGTAGAGCATAAAAATATCATCGAGTCGTATACATTTCTAAACATGAAAACACGTTAAAACTATCTCGATGAATGATTATTCGGTCGCACAGTTATTAAAACTTTGAACTTTGACAGGTAAAAACACATTTGTACAGGTATATAAAAAATTTTGAAATTCTATTGCTTTTAAAAAAACAGTTCCGAAGATTTTTAAAGTCTTTTAAGCGTAACAGTTGAAGACGTCACTCACACAAACATTTAAAAAACTAGGCACAATCGTGTATCATGATATACACAATTTGTGCTGTTAATATGAACACATGTTATTATTACACAATAACTTTTAACACTAGCCTTGTGATTATTATTTAAAAAGTCAACACTCGATTATTTTTAAAAAATAAACTTAAGCGTTGAAATTTTTTGCTTTGGCCATGGAATAATCAATGGGACCAGCCGTTTTGTCATTTATAGCCAAGGGCCGAGCAAGGGCTAAGCCGTTACGCAAATGAAATTTACGACTCAGTCTCTTTTTTATCGGCAAGGTACGAGGATCTCTAAAGAGCCAGCTGTGAGCCGGAAGCCAAGGGTACTCATCTTTTAGCGTCGTTGAAGACGGACTCTGAGTAGTCGGAGCCGACAGATCATCTGGTGATGAAGGCGGAGTTGGTGGCATCTCTGGCTCCTTTTTCATTTTTCTGATTCCCCAGCACAACTCAAAAAGGTGAGGGGCAATACGGCATTTGTCCTCGTGTGCTTCGTAGACGTGTATGTAGTAGTCGAATTTCGTTCGGTACCATTGGCCTGTAAAAAAAAAAAATAGTCCCCCGTTAGTTTACTCGCGAGTGACCGATCAAAGTGCTCAGAGCTAAATGTGATATTCGTTCTAATACTTACTGCAAAACTTGCAGAGACGCTGCTTGACAGAATGGAACCTTTTCTCGTGACGTTTAATATTGTGTCCACGATTGCTTTCATAGTAACAAATTCCGCACCGATGTAACATCTTCTTCGGCGTTTAAACTTTTTTTCGTTCTCTTGATATAAAATAGATGCTAGCTACGAAGCTTGGATAGGACTGACCGGTGCTGTAGCTGCTGCTGCTGCTGCTGCTACTGCTGCTAGAGCAATACGAAGACTAATAGGCCGAATCGACTCACACGCGTGCTCCCAAAATTTTAAAGCCGTATAAATACAATCAAGCGACGACGTCCAATCAGGCGCGTAGCGACTCTTAGCTAGATGATCGGATTTCGCATTACACTATACAAGGGAGGGGACTATACAAGCTCCGGCAACTTCTCGGTACTTTAAATATGGGCAAAACCCCGTTAACTTTTTTCTCCTCCGAAATAAATGAACAGCTACACTGATGCGCGACTTACAAACGTGAACGCATCTGTTGCAGTAGCAACGCGGTAATACGACCGCCGCACTTGGTTCAAGCGTGTATTAAAGTATAGCAGAGGTGCTCAATTGACGTAACACATCGAGCAACGTCGGCATGTGTGTACACGCGCGCATGTGGGGCCAACTCGTTCGCTGATCGACTAATACTGTATAGCAAGCATCAAAGGGCGTCCCGACGCGATGCCGCTACTTGTTTACGCATATACCAATATACTTGCGGCACTGTAGATGTAGACTCCTCGGCCCTCTCCGGCGCACGAGCCGAAATTTTTAAATAAAAAACGATCGTCGCAGAAAAGTTGAGAAGTATATAAACGCCGAGCGAATCGCCACTCGCTGCGGCCGTACGATAACGAATTTCTTGACGAGAACAGCGAATACGTGTATATCTACTCAATCAAAGGAGCCGATATTCTGGGCTCACGATGTATCCTATATGCAACGATCACGTAATACATACACACCATAATAACAGATGTCACATAACACATGCAAAGTTGCATCGACATGTCGATCGGAGCATCGAATTTGGAATATTTTTACATCGGTTATTCAGATTACCGTGACTGCAATATTAAACGCCATCGAATCACACGCGATGCTGATTAATAAAACCAGAACGGGAAAAAGATTTTGAACATTTTGAAGGTAAAAAAGAATGGAAAGTCATATGATAGTTGAAATTTGAGCTCTGTGCTCGGCTAAGCGTTCATGTTAAATACGAGCAAAGTGACAATAAGGCGTGGCTTTTAAAACAAGAAGGCGTATTCTGAAAACTTTAAAAGCCGCACCATTCTAATTTTTTTTCGATCCTGTACATCTCAGCGCTATGCTACCAACAGAGGTGTCTAGTTGATATCTGATCTTTGAAAAAAATTACATTTTATTATTATAAAGTTGTTGCATCTCACTCAAGATCATAAACATTACACTATTGTTAAATTACAATGTTATAAAGCTCATAATTTTAATACTAATATACATTTGCGCTTCAAAAGAATATTGTTCTAATGCAAATACATGATATGCGATAATTTCTTATCAAAACACTTTTTACTGACAAATTAAATAAATGAAATATTTAAACATGGTTGATTTTTATACATGAGATTATATGTGCACATAAGAGCTGTTTGCAGTTCTTCAATACATTCATTTCCATGTACCATAGCAATATAAGAATCAACTCTGTTTAGGTATTTTAATTGTTCTAATTGTCAATAAAAGGTGTTGATAAGAAATTATCGCATTTCATGTATTTGCATTGGAACAATGTTTTTTGAAGCACAAATAGATATTAGCATAATAATTATAAGCTTTACAACATTGTAATAGAACATTAGTGCAATGTTTATGACTTTGAATGAGATGCAACAATATCTCAACAATAAAATGTAGTGTTTTTAAGGTGTCTCAAAAAACTTACCCAAATAGTTTAAAATTAGTATCTAGCGCGCCTCATGCTTTTATTTATATTATTTCAAAGTATTTATTTTATCTATGACTTATGCGCACTAACTAATATAAGGGGTCATGTTTTCTACGTGTACTGAGCCTCCAAAAAATTTTTTAGGAAAGATCCATTACTCAAAGTGATAAGGTCTCTGTATCAAATACATTACAGTACAGCTGCACAATTGATAAAATATTTTTAAATTATTATTCATTAATTAACTTATAAAAAATGTATAAACTCAACAGTGAAACCGCTTGAAAGTGTTTATTGAAATTTGCCATAAACAGGAATTAAATATTTTATTAGCTTGCAATAAATACACTTGGTAATCCTCCAAAACTTTGTGGACTTTTTACAGCTTCAATTTTTTTTTTACATTATTTGATAACTTTGGATGAACTCAAAATTTTATTACAAATGACAAATTTTTCAGTGAATATCCAAATACTTACTTCATTAGGTTGTAATTATCTGATATGCACCGAATCGATATGATTTTAAAGATGAAACTTACTTTTGAACTAATATTCATGTACGTCGCAAGCGTGAGTCTTGAAATAAAAATCAACTCGCAGCCACAGTCAAATTATAATCAACTGTTTGCACTGTATCTATCTTGCTTAAAAATTGCAATAACAATTAGTAATTTTACTCAATGGTGATCGAACTCACTGTACACAGGCAACGAGTTCATAAATGTGCTCTAGTTTTGTTGTTTATACGTTGTGCATATAACTTCTGCGTGCATGTGCATCGGGGCGCATTTGCCGGCCCTGAGATAGAGTACCGCGTGTACTACACCTAAAAGAAGAGCTGCGAAGGAAGCAAAACTAAGTCTTCTAATAATTATAAATTTATAACACCGAAGAATGTATCTCATGTCTATCGAAAAGGAAACACTTTCCTATCGATGATACTCGTGGTAACAGGAAAATGAAAAGTATGAAATACGCAGAGCGCACCGAGTAAGAGCCAATATTGTAAAAAGCAGAAAACTCTTAGCTTTGGTTACGAAATCAAAAATTGCCTCGCAACACAACCTTTGACGGGATGCTATTTCCATACAATTACATTATCCCAAAAGGCCTTTTTTAATTATTATTATCAAAGGTGTCTTTGTTGTGCCGTTGATATAATGATAGTGTCATGAGTAATCAGAGCGTCTCTTTATACTCGATTGTGCAGCAGACCATCCAGTCCTAAGGCTAGCGATCAAGGCGTCGCTCGCCGGGGGAGACATTTTTACGGCTCACTCAGCGTTGGGAAGAGGACGTCTACATGAGTTCGCTAGATCACTGATTTCTTTATAGACATGGTCAGCATAGCCAACCTTGTAATTTGAACCGTAGCAAATGTCAACACACAATGTATTATTCTGCCGTCTGCGGTTTCATGATACTGCGATTATTGGTGCTGCGATAATATGATATTAAAAAATAAAATTTAAGTAATATGCATAATTGTGAAGACCTTTTTAAATTATAATAATAAAGATTTTTAATAATGAACATTGAACATGTAAACTTTTTTTCAATCGCACATATCCTCTCATTTCATTGCATTTACAATGATAAAAATACAACTGAATTAATTCTTTTTAATTTTACGTACTTTTATAGTAAAGTGAAATATAAATCATTTACAATTTGAAATTTAAAAGCTGACTGCACTGGCGAGAAAGTATCAGCAGAAATGAAAAGAAAATTGAAGCCGCATTATCGAACCACTATTGGCGGGATCAGCTAGCAGTGTACTTTATGACGACTTCATGATTAACACCGATATTGTTATTGGTTAACTTGAAATTTTTCTTTTACTCTTCACATCCATCAGCAAGTATGTTAATGAAACGTTTTTTGTATCAAGCACGTATAAAAACAATGAAAAGTGACGGACTGTATTGTCTAGCTCCTACGTGCAGATAAGTTATAGAAGATGTCGTGAATTATCTTTTACGTTATTTATTAGAGATTATTAGAGATAGCATGATGTCTTTACCTAAAGGTTTTATGTTTTTTTGCAATGTTTTGATCGTAAGAAAAAATCGATGTTATCAATACTCTGCTGCTATTGAATACTCTTATCCGCGAAATCACTTTTCTTTGTCGGATCATTTTTCATGTGTGCGAGTACAGATGATTTGAAATTATTATTTTTACTAGAAAATTCTCATTAGAATAGCAAAAAATGTTCATAATTCTATTAATAGGTTTCGCCTCGTGCGTTGAAATATTTTCGTGTCTTGAGTTGATGGTTTTTTTTCACAAGATGACACATAATAATATAGTTAATTTTAATAAAAAACCAGGCAGCACGAGAAATGAGCCTACTTTTGAGTCGATAATAAACAAAAATAAAGATTTTGAGAAAATACTATATATTTTTCATATTCAAGTAATTACACAAATGTAAATACTTCAACATTTTTTAATGAGTAATTTTTTGCTTTAAAGTGCATTTCAATATTTATAAGTTACACCTAAAATTAATGTAGTAATATATAATTTTTAATAGATATTACTTTCGAGAATTTATAAATAAAATATATCTTGACTCAATCTTTCAAGCAGCAACGAGAACACAGCAAATCCTCTCGATGCCTTACCTTTCATTATTCGCGTATAATAAAGACACGAGCTTTTTTCAGAAAATATATAAAAGTACCTTCGTTCTATTCGTTCGTTACATAATGCTCGTCGATTGCTTTCACAAATATTATCGGATTGAATCTTGTGCGAGTTTCCATCAGTGCTCCCGGGTACACCATCAGTTGCGATTAAAATGACGATGAGTGTTGTGTTTATGATATATCATGAAAAACATCGAGAAGATGTCATATACTTTTTCAAAACAAATGCAATAGATTAACAATGAAACGTACAATAGCTAATAGACTCGATATTGTTTATTAATGGTCGCGTTATTCGTAAATCTGATTCTTTAAAATCAAAAAACTGTTCAAAGCGTATCGCTAAAATACAAATGTCAAATTTGCATCACCGACAGACTGACTCCTTGGCGTATACAGGCGCCCAGCGCCCTCTACGTCAACGAGTCACAACATAACGTACAAAGGACAAAGGTCGATGCAATCGAGTCACGGAGGTGATTCATTCGGTAGCAACTTGGTTGTTGGTTACTCGCGCGATCAGCAAAATCAAGTTGTTTTTTTGTATATCGAATACCGCATCGTACTTTCAACCTAGTGCACGATGAAGCAAACAAATCACGAAGCCACTTCGAGTCAAGAATCTAACTACGTTCGAACTGACGCCCACGCAAAATCTCGTTCCTTGAACGGCATCCTGAAAACCACCATCGAACACTTGAGATTGTGCAAAACCCTTGAATTTCCATCAAGAGAAATAATACCCGGTTCTCTCGACGAACGCACCGAGACGGCCGTACATCTCGCGGCGAGAGATCACTTCTCGAGCCTCGCGATGGACTACGTGATCATGGCGCCCCAGATCGATTCGCTGTTCCAGTACTACGGCAATGTGAATTACATATCGCCGGTGGACGGCTTGTCGCATTTTCACGTGGCCTGTCAAGTCGGCAACCTCGAGATGGTGCGCGAATTCGTCGACAACGGCGTCGACGTCGATCTCGCCTGTCGCAACTTGCCGCGGACTCCGCTGAACACGACGGTTTACTTGGACCAGGCCGAGGGCGAGGACGATCGCGTCTCGATTCTCGAGCTGCTGCTTCGGAAAGGCGCCAGTCCCAACGAACTTTTCGAAGACGGCAAGAGCCCTCTGCACTGTCTCTGCTACACGTTTTTGGAGAGCGAAGGGTCCGCTCGAGACGACAAATTGAAAATGATCGAGCTGCTTTTGCGCTACGAGTGCGACGTCAACACGACGGACATGTTTTGCTCCAGTCCGATATTTTCGTTATTTCGCGATTTCACCACCAAGGACGCCGATCAAGTGAAATTGCTCGAGATTTTACTTGACCACGGTGCCGATCTCAAAGCCGTCGATAGCTCGGGACACACCATACTGCATCGGATCATTCGACCGAATCTACCCGAGTACTGTGAGGTTGACAACTATGAGAAACTTTTCAACGACGACATCGGCGCAGAGGTGGTGGCGTTGCTTTTGAAACACGGAATCGACGTCAATGTTAAAGACATAATGGGCCGCACTCCTTTGCAAATTGGCGTAAGCAAGAGGAGAAGAAGGTTTCGAGATGACCCGAAACCTTCTTGACATAATTCAACTCTTGGAAAGTAAAGGATACAGCATGGACATGAAAAAGAGATCGCAAGTTCTAACATTTTTGGTTGGTTCCAATCAATTTCTCTGCAATTTGAGGACCATTCATTTACTAGATTATAGTGAGTATATTCATTGTATATAATCGCAACTTAAAATTCCAAAGTAAACATTATACATTTTTACCAGGTTCAGACTTTCAAGTTTATCATTTTATTAAGAATTTTCTACGAGATTTCTGCAGTTTGGAGCATTGGATTGAATCTGAAGAAGCTGTGAACAGATACTTTGCGCCTGTAGTACTAGGAGATTTGTATACAAGTAATCCTATTTATACTTTTTCTGATCAAATTGATGATTTCAATGCAATCGATGAAGTCCAAAAAGAGTTGGAAGTTATTGCTAGCATTATGATTACCAAACATATTTCGCTCCTTGATCTTTGCAAAACTAGCCCCGATAAAATTTATAAAACTATAGCAAACTCAGAATATGTATCCAAAGTCAACTGGATCAATTTAAACAATGAGTTTCCATATATGGCAGAGTTTATCAAAGGACAAATAAATAGATGTCTCATTACAGCATATTGCAGAGATGTAGCAACAGAATTTTTGAGTTTTTTGTCCCCTATCCGAATGCCAGATTTGTGCATTGAAAATATTGTAAAGTATTTCAACAATGATAATATATTGTATCTTTGTCGTACAATT